GGTGTGATGGTGTGACACTCACGAGACGAACTTGCCCAGCTCCACCTGCAGGACGGGCTCGGGCAGTCGGACCTCCAGCAGCTGCACGTCGGCCTCGCTCAGCTCCGGCGCTCCAGCCGCGCGCGGGGAGAAGATGCGCAGCATGCCCATGAAGCTGCCCACCACTATCTTATCTGGAGGACACGGGGAACAGAGCGGACTCAGCGCCACATGACCACAGCTCTTCAGTCAGGGATGAGACTCCATATAACAGCTTTGGAAACCTTTATACAGTGACTGTACGTCTACTCCTCACAGCCTCATTCTCATATACAATTCTAGAGTCATTACAGACGAGAAGCGGCCGTTCAGGTGTTTGTTTATAACACTCTAAGAGCTCTGAGTTGCACAGGTGCCACTGACCGCTAGCTGTATTAGCACTAGGCGGCTCCAGAGGCCGTATTAAGATACTGTATTACACACAACAATGGAACAATAATAAAACAATGCACTGACATTTACTTTTCACTTTTGATACTTAAGTACTTTTAAAAGTGAGTATTTCTGTACTTTTACTTCAGTAAATATCGGTGTTCAAAGCTTTTACTTGTAACAGAGTAATATGTGACCAGTAGTGTGTGTATTTTCCCTCCAGTAAGGAAGGTGTGGTGTTACGTCTGGTAACGGGTGCTGTAACTCACCGTATCCACTTCCACTGTTATCCACATCCCCGACACACAGACAGCCCTGATCGAACTCCTCTCCCTCGCCCAGCGCCGACGCCCACCAATCACGGGCCTTGAACAGAGACATCCTGTAACAGAGAGCACCAATCACGTCATCCATCTCCATGCAGAACACACACATTAACGAGTATGTATGTCGAATCGGATCGGAGCCCATTCCTCGCCAGCTTTAACATCTAAACTGCAGTCCGACTCTCTCCTGAGGATCACACACACACGTGTACAGTATTCTGCATGTTTATTATTGAGGCGAGACAAGGCCATGTCCACTGAAAGAGACTATTTAACATGCTTTCAGTTTGTATTGTTCTTCTTCTCAGCTCATTCCTGTGTTCGTACTGTATTATTGCAGAAATGACCTCAAGTCACTCGCAGCTGTCCTTGTGCTTGAAGTTTGAAGCCACTCCTCCTCATATGTTCATACAGTAATGCTGTTTTAGCAAGACGGATTCAAGACAGGAAGCAGAACGAGTTATCTTGCCGTCTCAGAAATGAGAAAATTGTCTAAATCAGAATCTAAGGACGATATTACACAAATTCCAGAGGGATTGCAGCCGTACTGGAGCGCTGTCTGGAGTAAATGCCGAACGCATTTCAAGGACTTTCCATGTTTGGCATTTTTTTTGTTTGTGAAAATAAATGCATCAATAATGGATATTTTTGATTATGGAAAGGGACAGGGCATTTCCCAAACACACTCGAAGCGCTCGACCAATCAACCAATGCTGCTCCAGCTGACCAATCAGAGCACAGTGCGCTTTCAGGAGGAGGGGCTTCATAGAGACAGGAAGTAAACAGAGCGTTCCTGACAGACTGGGAAGAGAGGAGCCGCAACAATGGAGCATATGGGGAAATACTGACTTACAGGGGAGTCTGATAAATCTATCTGATCATATAAAGCTGTAGATGGGAACACATTTATGTCTGTCTCACACTGACTTACACTGAACAGGGCAAGATATGATGAAGCTGATGCTGACTGAAGGGTCACGTGACCCCAGCGTCGTGTCTGATTGGCTGCCATCCAAGCAGCTTTGCTAACTAACTGCTGACTGCTTAACTAGCAGAGCTAATCCAGACCAACACAAGAGGCTTCTGTGCATTAACCATACAATTATACATGCTGGCTATTAACTCTGATGGAGCCCATATGTGCAGAATTACTCAGACTATACATATGTCTGTAAGAGGGACTGCAAAAGCAGCGAAGGTTTAATAACACAATCATAATAATCACATCTACTAGATGATATACAGTATAAACCGAGTCGCTTCTCTATTTGAGTTCGAGATTCTACTGAATGTGTGTGTTCGTTCCCGCTCAAACTGCCCTTCCCGCTGTATAAACTGTGTGACGCTGCTCTCAGTAGCGCAGGGTGAATAAAGTCATGTTGTACCTGTGATGAATGCAGTGAGTTTCCTTCAGTAATGTGAGGTAAAACACAACAGCTCAACTCATCTCCTCACTCGAGACGCGCTGTTGTCATGGTGCCGAGAGCGACTCTGCAGCCGGAACTGCGTCACGAGAAGTCACGGGCGCGTATCAAAATAAAAGTCTCGTGATTTATTTTGATTCTGTCTTGTTCTTTTTACTTCTTTCTTTTCGTTTGTTTTTAATACATTGTGAATGTTTCCTTCTTTGTTTATATAATGTTCTCTATAAAATAATAATAAAAAAGTCCCGTTTTCCCGGGTCAATTGTTTATTTATCCCGCTTATGTATTTATATACAAACAGTAATATATGTATTCTTCAGCATAACAATGTCAGTCATTCATAATCATATCTATGTGTTGTTTAATTTGTAGAAACAGTACGTAAAACATTTATTAAATAATAATCAATAAAATGTTGAAAATATTTCATATGGGTTTATTAGAAATTGATAAAAATAATAAATTGAATATAGCGCTTTTCTCTGACTCAAAGTCGCTTTAAGGGACAGGTGAATAAGCAAGACAAAAAAAAAATCAGGTACATATAGAGATGGGAGGGGCGTGGGGGTGAAGAGACCCATCTCTATATGTACCTGATATTTTTTTTTTTTGTCTTGCTTATTCACCTGTCCCTTAAAGCGACTTTGAGTCAGAGAAAAGCGCTATATTCAATTTATTATTTAATAATAATCACTCAGACTCACTGACACTGCTCTTGTTTTTGTCTTTATCTGACATACACACTATATACAACATTTATCGCATTACAACCATTTGCGTTTGGTTAAACAAGCAGTTTATACATCTAGAGATGATCACATACACAGATTTGGGTATCGACAACAATTTGAAATATGTATGCAACATGAAGTATTGCGAGTCTTAAGTCATAGAAACACAAACAAAAAACAACTAAGATGAGCCGAAATGATTTGAGTCTGCACTGATTCCACACTGTAGGAAACAGGACTGAACCTCACAGATGGTGTGTGTGTGTGTGTGTGTGTGTGTGTAACACTGAACAATAAACTTCATAAAAACACTGAACAACCAAAGGTACAATATTACATTCTTACACAACCATATCGGTTCAAAATGGCCCTCTGCAATAAAAATAAAATCTAATAGTTATTTAACATTCTTTAAAACATTCTCTAGCATCCGGATGTTCAGATGAGCAGACGAGCTGATCTCCGCATCAGTCGCTGTCGCTGCCAGATTCACTCAGCTGAAGATCATTTCCTGAGGACAACAACACACACTTTATCCTCTGCGGGTCAAGAGGAGAGAATCGCTGCGTCCCAGTTCACAAACAACCCGTCCTAGTATATAGTATTCGAAAATTGAATTAGTGCGTCCCAAATCGTAGTATTGAAATGAGTATCCAAATATACCCGGATGTCCTACTTTTCCCGGCTAGAATCCGACGTGCAGAACACGCTAAGGGCTAAAATTGCCCACAACCCATCGCGCAATGGACGAGGGGATTCAATTAGAACTACAAATACTATTGAAAAGTGTTAAACTACAGACATGGCTGACGTGCGAGTCCGGCGCTTATGTAAAGAGGTTTAGATAAAGGGGTTTGAGTGATTCATTATCAGGATCTAACCTGAGGAAAATGTATTTATTCAGTGCTGGCATCTGCAGCAGCATTGTGAACTTTTGTAAAGATACGTTTAACATTTAAATACATCATGATGTTCAAACTGCAAACACACGAGGAGAGCCTCCGCATTAAAGACCCACAATTGGCAGATCGACTTGCTTCAACATTTCTCTCAGAAACGGTAGGAAGTTCAATTAAATTGGATGTGATAGGATAGGATTTGACGTGACGAGATGATTGACAGGCCAGTTTATGGTGACAGGATTCATGTAACTATAATAATTTGTAACATTTATACTAGGCCGCAGGGTAAAGTAAAGTCCCAAAACTTGCCTACTCTTCTGCTACACACTCAAAAGTATGTTCTTTTTCTTCACATAAAAGAGTAAGGCGTAGTACAAGCAGGCGAACTGGGACGCAGCACATGACATGCGTGAGTGTGTGCGAGTCTTACTGAGCGTGTTCATCAGCTGGCTGCTGCCCTGTGATTGGCTGAGAGTGTTCATCAGCTGGCTGCTGCCCTGTGATTGGCTGAGTCCGTTGTCTGTGCGGTTCCCGCCGGGAGAGAGACGGGTGTCGGGTTCGGAGTCGCTCCCGGAGCTGTGGTCTTCAGCGCCGCTACCCGAGTCTGAGGAAGAAGAGCTGCTGCTCATCTGCTCGATCACGTCCACCTCGGCCCGCAGCTCTGAGACACACACACACACACATGTTGCAATCTTAAAATGTTGTTTCAGGCTCTACTACAGCAGCTGAATGTTGATTATTCTCCTCATATTCTCCATTGTTGCGGCTCCTCCCTTCCCAGTCTGTCAGGAACGCTCTGTTCACTTCCAGTCTCTATGAAGCCCCTCCTCCTGAAAAGCACACTGTGCTCTGATTGGTCGGCCGGAGCAGTGTGTTGTGATAGGTCGAGCACTTTGAGTGTGTTTGGGAAATGTCCCGCCCCTTTCCATAGCTGCCAGTTTTACACACTACTAACTTAATCAGGCTCCGCCCCTTTATTCTGCACATGAATTATTTAAATGAGGAATACTGTGACGTGTTCGTTCCCAGGAGATACAACCCAGTTAATAACGTAACCACGGTTCCCTGAGATAAGGGAACAAGTATTGCGTAGCTATACGCTATGGGGAAAACTCATTTTTCTCCGAATACTTAAGCCTTTTTGTATAATAGACACAGTGCTACTGCACAGCCATAACAGTGCAGAGAGTGGGTGGTAACTGCATGAACCTATGGCAGAGTGGCAGAACTGCGAACCAATCTGTGCACAGCCCGCCGAGCTGAGAGCCCGCCAAAATGGGCGGGGCATCTGCATATAAAAGATGCTCGTTTCGCCATAGATTCAGGTTTATGGACTGAAGTGACCAACGGCTCTGATTTCTGGGCGAAGAAGGTGAAGCCTTCGAGAAGAGTTGTTCTAGAGTGACTGAAGTTGTCGCTTCAGTCAATAAACCTGAATCTATGGTGAATTGAGATTCTTTTATAAGCAGATGCCCCGCCCATTCTGCCGGGCTGTGCACCGATTGGTTTGCAGTTACGCCGCTCTGCCATAGGTTCGTGCAGTTACCGCTGACCAACCGATAGCTTAAGAGTGTTTTCCATTACGTATTCTAAAATGCTCAATTCTAAAAACACAAGCAACCCCTGTGTGTGTGTGTGTGTGTGAGTGTGTCTGTGTCTGACCTCGCTTGATGTCGTCCAGCTGTGGCTCTGGTGAAGGGTTGTCTTTGCCTGGCGAGCTCCTAGCGCCCCCCGCTGGCCGGAGTGGGGTGCGAAACTGAGCCGTCAGTGGAGTCGCTCTCACCAACTGCTGATCCAGACGAGCCTGGACCTTACTACTGCCCTCGGCCCTGACCAACACACACACACACACAATCATCATCAGCACCTCATCTGCTGCCCTCGGCCCTGACCAACACACACAATCATCATCTACACGGGTCGCTGTGAACACAGCTGTTTTTGAGGAGGTAAATGCGTGTTGTTTTACACAACCATTGAGGAATCTTAACCAAAGTATGTTACAAAATTTACATTAAAACCCTAAAGAATCATATCAACTTGTGGAAAATGGGCATCCGACGACCCATTTAACCAAAATAATCGGTTATAGTGAATGTAAACACTGAGACAGAGTGCGTGTGTATCAGTTTTTTTGGCTCCGTGCTGCTCTTAAAGTGACAGCAGCCTAATAAACCTGCTTCAGTCATTCAGAGAGAGTGCCGCATGTGCTGTGTTTCACAGTGCGTGTCTTTAATATCCTCCACACATGAACGACCCACCTGGTCTTCTTGACCTGTATGCTGCTGCTGAGCTTCTCCAGCATGAACTCGCCCGTGTCGTGGTTGATGATGAGCACGCAGTCCTTCTGATACGGCCTCTTGTTGCCCTTGAAGACGGTCATGGGCGGCGTGGACCCCTGCGGACGAGAGTGAGTGAGCGCACACACACACACACATACACACACACAGGACATAGACACACTCTTACCGGGATGTGTGGGAGTGTGATGGTCACCTCCTCGCCCTTGCCCACCTGCAGCTCTCCTTCACACGACGTGTCGATCGACGCCGGCTTGAAGTCATCTGAGGAGGACAGAGCGAACAGGCTCGAAAGAGAACGAGGGACAATAACGCTGGGAATCGAACTACTATTCCAATTCTGGAATCAAGTCAATATGACTTTAAAACAAAGCGATCGGTCCACGTGTGTTATTCTACATTTTAATACAGTTTCTGTTTGTTGGAATGTTTCTATTTGTCATATTGGAATCAAAACCGTAATCGTTAAAATTCAAACGTTACCCAACCCTAATTACAATCCATGAAAACTGAAATGAAAAGTTATTAACTGTGTTTTATGAACATTTATGGACACATTCATCATATTTATTACTTTTCCACTAAAGTAAATAATATGTTAAATTAAAAAATAAGAGCTCATTACAGCTGCGATATTATTACAAAATCATTATTGACGATAAACGTTTTTTTAGTGTGTGTGGAGAAATGGCATATTATTGTGTATAATGCATTGAAAAGCATTAAACAGTTCTCTATTAGTTTCACCCGTGCAGCTTAAAATGTCATAGTTATTCAAACAGGCTTTTCTGTAAATCTGACGACTGCTTCTCAAATCTCGGAGTTCAACGAGTTCAATCGCATAACGTTTGCTTTTTACATCTCCATTTATGCATTTGGAAGACGCTTTTATCCAAAGCGACTTGCATTGCATTTCGAGGTACACCTTCACATTCTTATCAGTTCTTAGCAGAATATTGGAGTGTTTATTCTAAAAGATTAATCCACACACATCGTCATTATTGTGTTAATGTTGAATCAGAATCGGTTCCTCTTGCAGCATCTCTTCTCTTCTCTGATGACGAGGGCGGGGTTTTAACCTGTCACTCACATGAGATCAGCCAATAGCAAACCACAACCATCCCACCAGCCAATCAACTGCACACGGACACAATCAAGCCCCCGCGCTACATCTGTTCTTGTTCGCAAATGCACTTTCATGCGACTTTTAATGTTAAACAAGGTGTTACAATATTTATTTATTTATTTATTTATTTTCAAAAATGGGAATTAATCAGGGCCAAAATATTAAAAGACCGCAGTTAGGTTAGCTTCTTCAGTTGTCTGTTAATATCGCGCCAAAATTAAACCAGTCTGATTTTCCCGCTGTCAATGACGTCACATCACATCCATGCGCTGGATGTTTATTATTCCGCTGCTAAAAGGCTGATCTTGAGATTAGAAGTGTTCTTGTGTTACTCACATCTGATGGTGTGGAAGGATGATTTGGGTCTCTTCTCGAAACTGTCTCCGAGCTTCAGCACGTGCTCCTCTTTATCCAGAGGCGTGTTCGCGCTCCCGTTCATCACATCCAGTCCAGAACCGCAGAACCTCACAGGTAAACAAACACCCGAGGAGAAGCGGCCAAAACACTGCGGCAGATCCAACACTTCCGGGTCACGGGGAACTCAAATAACGCCCTCAACAAGATCTTTACGTTATTATGCCTGTAAAATCAGACATTTGGCATTTAAAGCACAAGATAAAACATGTATCAAATGAGTTGTTCGTCTTTCAAAATGAGGAAAAACATATGACGATAAAGTGAATTAAATCTAATATTCAATAATAAATAAATATATTAGAAGAAAATGGTATTAGACCCAGTTAGTCCGAGTGTTAGCACACATGTATGTTAAATATTTTGGCACCTTTGTTCGGTGAATGAAAATAAACAAATCCAGAGACCGCTTGTTTGGTTTCACTTCCGGGTCAGTGATACTAGAAAAAAAGTAGTGAAAAAATACGTTAATAATTTAGTTTAATTGTATTGCTTTAAAGAGTCTCTGGTGCTATAGAAGTAAAAAATATGTAGCGTTAAAATGATGTGAATATATTAAGCACATACTCCGTGAGCTGATGGCGTGACACTCGCGCGATTACCGTAATTACACCGAACATCACGAACACAGACGTTACATCACTTGGCTATTCACTACTTCCTTGAGTGAAAAAAAACTGCACTGATGTCTTAAAGAACACAATAAAAGGAATGAAAAAAACATAACTGAGTGAGAAAAACAAAAATGGCAGCATCTAAGTGTGTTTATGCGGTTCGGTGGCTGCGTCATCTTGGTCCATTACGGTAAAGTCGAGACGCAGTCGTTCCTCATACTGAACATGTGTTTATGAGTGTGAAGAACCAAGAACGCATTACATGCGACCACAGTCATGACACACTCACCGCCGAGGATTATCCTGTTATTCAGTGGGAAGCGGAAGTCAGGGAAGGATTATGTGGCCGATTTGATTCAGCACAGGTGAGCTCTAGTGTCGCGCGCACAGGTGAGCTGCATGAACGCTGATGATGCTGATTCTGTTGTTGTGATCGCAGGCTGACTGCAGAGATGTGCTGTATACTCCGACTGTCTGCGCCACTCAAACAGCAGTATGCACAGGTATACTACTCTTCAACCCTGTAGCCTGACATGTGTGATCATAACCTTTAGACTAAATAGTTTTAACTTAAAAAAGGTTTGCATTTGTGAATTGTTTTGTATCACATTCAATATTTCAGGCATTATGCACTCGCTTATCTGCATACACTGTTGAGAGCCACGCCCACATGCCATCATCCAATCAGCAACCAGTGCACAGAAACCAGCCCCGCCTTAAATTTGTTCTTCTTTGAAGCTGTTGTAAATGAACTCTGACCTCTTGTTTCCTCAATCTCAGTAGTCGAGGGTGAGGAGAATAATGACCGGATCTGAAGTTACTCCTGTATTATATCTCTCCCATAATTCATGTGAACGATCAGAGAGCGTGCAGGAAAACAGGGGTCAATCCGTAGTCCAGAAAAACTATTGAAGAATCAAATCTACAAAATTTGATCAGAAATACATTAAAAATAGTGAAATATTATTAGAATATAAATCATCTGTTTTCTATGTGAATATACAGTAAGTGTAATTCATCCCTGTGATCAAAGCTGAATGTTCATCATCATTACTCCAGTCTTCAGTGTCACATGATCCTACACAAATCACTCTAATATGATTAGTAGTGTCATCATTATTTCTGTCTAATTATAATTCATATTATCAAAAGAGTTCATCTAGTAATGAAACAAGTGAATAAAAAATCATGATTCACAGTTTCTCCAGATTTGTGCAGTGCTAATTTTAATTTCAGTTTAATGTGTAAACTCTGTGACTGGTGTGTGTGTGTGTGTGTGTTCAGGATCATGATCTGGACTACGAGGAGCTGCTGGGCTGTGGTCAGTATAAGGAGAGGCATCGGGTGGAGATGATCCGCTGGGGAGAGATGAGGAGACAGCAGGACTCGGGCTTCTTCTGCCGGCTGGCCGTCCAACGTGCCACGCGACCCGTCTGGGTACATAATCATAATCATAATCATAATGCATTTTACAGTAGATTAACAATAATGAACCATCACTGAATTTACTTAAGCTCATGTGACCTCAGTAACACACACTCTCCTGTCGTCACGTGACCTCAGTAACACGCTCTCCTGTCGTCACGTGACCTCAGTAACACGCTCTCCTGTCGTCACGTGACCTCAGTAACACGCTCTCCTGTCGTCACGTGACCTCAGTAACACACTCTCCTGTCGTCACGTGACCTCAGTAACACACTCTCCTGTCGTCACGTGACCTCAGTAACACACTCTCCTGTCGTCACGTGACCTCAGTAACACACACTCTCCTGTCGTCACGTGACCTCAGTAACACGCTCTCCTGTCGTCACGTGACCTCAGTAACACGCTCTCCTGTCGTCACGTGACCTCAGTAACACACTCTCCTGTCGTCACGTGACCTCAGTAACACACTCTCCTGTCGTCACGTGACCTCAGTAACACGCTCTCCTGTCGTCACGTGACCTCAGTAACACGCTCTCCTGTCGTCACGTGACCTCAGTAACACACTCTCCTGTCGTCACGTGACCTCAGTAACACACTCTCCTGTCGTCACGTGACCTCAGTAACACACACTCTTCCTCAGATCGTCAGCGACTGCAGGAGGAGATCGGATGTAGAGTGGTTCCGGCAGGAGTTTCCCGACCGGTGTGTGTGTGTGCGTGTGGAGGCGTCAGAGGAGACCAGATCACAGCGGGGCTGGAGGTTCACCACAGGTAGTTCAAGTTCGGCTGACCAAAGTGCTTTACAGAACAACCAGATTAAAATGATATAACATGCATAACAACAATTAAAATGAAAAATTAGAGCAACATAGCTAAGAGTAACCATAAACCAGCAGTAGCAGAACACTGAGTATTGGACACACGTCTTATAAATGATTAATGACTGAGAGCCTTGGAGAGTACCTGACGCTGCTGTACACCTGCTCAGGTGTGGACGACGCCGAGTCCGAGTGCGGTCTGGACGAGGGAGTGGAGTTCGACTGGATCCTGCAGAACAACGGAGAACACGAGCGCCTGGAGAAACAGCTGGACGAGCTTCTGTCGGCGCTCACTAGATGATGAACACGCTCCGGAAACAGCAATATCTGACCATAAACAACATATCTGACCATAATCAACATATCTGACCATAAACTGCAGAATCTGACCATAAACCTCAATATCTGACCATAATCAACATATCTGACCATAAACTGCAGAATCTGACCATAAACAACATAGAATATGACCATAAACATCAATATCTGACCATAAACAACATATCTAACCATAAACCTCAGAATCTGACAATAAACCGCAATATCTGACCATAAACCGCATAATCTGACCATAAACATCAATATCTGACCATAAACTGCAGAATCTGACCATAATCAACATATCTGACCATAAACATCAATATCTGACCATAAACTGCAGAATCTGACCATAATCAACATATCTGACCATAAACATCAATATCTGACCATAAACTGCAGAATCTGACCATAAACCTCAATATCTGACCATAAACCGCAGAATCTGACCATAATCAACATATCTGACCATAAACATCAATATCTGACCATAAATCTCAGTATCTGACCATAATCAACATATCTGACCATAATCAACATATCTGACCATAAACCTCAATATCTGACCATAAACCACAGAATCTGACCATAATCAACATATCTGACCATAAACCTCAATATCTGACCATAAATCTCAGTATCTGACCATAAACCACAGAATCTGACCATAATCAACATATCTGACCATAAACATCAATATCTGACCATAAATCTCAGTATCTGACCATAATCAGCACTTCTGCTCCTCATCTGCTCACTTTACTGGCTTCCAGAGGACAGTCGGGGACATAATACATGAACTGATGATGCAAACTTCATAGAAGACACATTTTGTTGTAAAGATAATATTTTCATTATTCAGTTGTTAATATAAAGGGAAGGTCTCTAAAGATTCCTCATATTGTTCTCTCACAGTTCTGTTCAGAGGTTTTATTGCAAATGTGCTGTAAAACATCCTCTAGATTGTACCGTTGTTCTGTATTTTCTGTGTAAAAAATCCCATGCATTTACATACAGTGAATAAATAAAAGAGTGAGAGCAATATTACAGGAATAGTTTGCCCAAAATAATAATCCTGTCATTTAAAAACCCACAAACAAATTCCGGATCCTCTGAAGCTATTTCCATATCAAATGATTTATTCATTACTTTCGTCAGAACGAGGACCGTGTACATGATGCTCTTTGTTTTAACGTGCGCAAGGGTGACATTTCAATGCATAACAACCTCAATTTGAATAAAGTACACTAAAAGGTCTTAAACTGTTTTTTTAAGGTGTGTTTCTTTACAGGTTTCACCACAGTCTTCAGAAGGAAATTATAAATCAAGACTAGATTTTCTACTCGCTAACGTTGAATATTAAGTTCACCTAGTTAGGTGACCTGATTACTTTAAAAGTACTGCAGTTACCCTGTTTCCCAGAGATACACTCATATACCAGATCATTGATATCGTGCGAGACGGCAGAAAAACGAAGATCTTCGAATGTTGATGTGTTGTGTAGATAAAGAAATGAAATAAAGCAATTATCAATGCATTTATATAGATGCAAAGCAGAATACATGAGTACAGCCATAGATTTCAACACACAGTACTATGAAAAACAAATAAAAAAATGCTATATATTTATAAACAATGATTGAACAGCAGTTTAAAGGATGCTTTCTTCCTCAAACATTCATGAAAACATAGACAATATCACCAGAGTGATTTTAGACAAAGCTTTAGTGTGATTTCAAGTGGCCAGAGAAGAATTCACAATCATTTTCCCAATACATTCCGTTATCAATAAACATTAATATCTTTCAGCGGTTCAGGAGAAACCCTCGCTGATTTATAACCCTTTATAAGAGGTAAACCGTGGAGGTTATTAAAACTATTCATGTTTCTACCTAATAACCAGGGCTTGTAATGTGTTACAACTTTACCATAATATGACGTCGTTTCTTCAGCACATCCTTCCAGTCATATAATAATGGACAATGATACAGCTAACCCGGAAACACAAGTTCTAAAGTCCGTAAAGTTTCCTTCATTTCTAACTCATTAAGTCCTTCATCAAAGAAAGAAAATACACCATAAACCGTTTAAATAGCAACTGTAAAATGTGGAAACATCTTTAAAAAAGACGTTCTACATGATGTTTAATATAAATGTATTAGGCCTGTTTCCGTCTGGACCGATAAGGCTTCTCCAGAACACACAGTATTTACAGGATTACAAACAGCCGTTCAGAGTTTGAATAAAAAACTAAAGTGATCCGGATTCTTCCACGGATATTGACTGAGGTGTAGTTTCTGAGCGCCACCTAGTTGTAGTGTTACGTAACCGCTAAAATACTCCGGCCATGTGACCAGAAGCACATTTCCTATTGACAGTGAGTGTGTGTGATTGACAGTGAGTGTGTGTGACTGTGATTGATCCTATTGGTTGTCCAGCATTATTGGCAGAGCGATGGAAAAGAGATGATAATCCTCACCATAGCAGATATCCGTGGTTTTGACAGCGAGTGTGTGTGTGAGTGTGTGTGACTGTGATTGACAGCGAGTGTGAGTGTGTGATTGACAGCGAGTGTGTGATTGACACCGAGTGTGAGTGTGTGATTGACAGCGAGTGTGAGTGTGTGATTGACAGCGAGTGTGAGTGTGTGATTGACAGCGAGTGTGAGTGTGTGATTGAGTGTGTGATTGACAGCGAGTGTGAGTGTGTGACTGTGATTGACAGCGAGTGTGTGTCTGTGATTGACAGCGAGTGTGAGTGTGTGTCTGTGATTGACAGCGAGTGTGTAATTGACAGCAATTGTGAGTGTGTGTCTGTGATTGACAGCGAGTGTGAATGTGTGACTGTAATTGACAGTGAGTGTGTAATTGACAGCAATTGTGAGTGTGTGACTGTGATTGACAGCGAGTGTGTGTCTGTGATTGACAGCGAGTGTGAGTGTGTGACTGTGATTGACAGCGAGTGTGTGATTGAGTGTGTGATTGACAGCGAGTGTGAGTGTGTATTGAGTGTGTGCTTGACAGCGAGTGTGAGTGTGTGATTGACAGCGAGTGTGAGACTGTGATTGACAGCGAGTGTGAGTGTGTGACTGTGATTGACAGTGAGTGTGTGATTGACAGCAAGTGAGAGTGTGTGACTGTGATTGACAGCGAGTGTGAGTGTGTGTCTGTGATTGACAGTGAGTGTGTGATTGACAGCAAGTGAGAGTGTGTGACTGTGATTGACAGCGAGTGTGAGTGTGTGTCTGTGATTGACAGCGAGTGTGAGACTGTGATTGACAGCGAGTGTGAGTGTGTGACTGTGATTGACAGTGAGTGTGTGATTGACAGCAAGTGAGAGTGTGTGACTGTGATTGACAGCGAGTGTGAGTGTGTGTCTGTGATTGACAGCGAGTGTGAATGTGTGACTGTGATTGACAGTGAGTGTGTAATTGACAGCAATTGTGAGTGTGTGACTGTGATTGACAGCGAGTGTGTGTCTGTGATTGACAGCGAGTGTGAGTGTGTGACTGTGATTGACAGCGAGTGTGTGATTGAGTGTGTGATTGACAGCGAGTGTGAGTGTGTATTGAGTGTGTGCTTGACAGCGAGTGTGAGTGTGTGATTGACAGCGAGTGTGAGACTGTGATTGACAGCGAGTGTGAGTGTGTGACTGTGATTGACAGTGAGTGTGTGATTGACAGCAAGTGAGAGTGTGTGACTGTGATTGACAGCGAGTGTGAGTGTGTGACTGAGCGTGTAATTGACAGCGAGTGTGACTGTGATTGACAGTGAGTGTGTGATTGACAGCGAGTGTGACTGTGATTGACAGTGAGTGTGTGATTGACAGCGAGTGTGTGATTGACAGCGAGTGTGAGTGTGTGATTGAGTGTGTGATTGACAGTGAGTGTGAGTGTGTGATTGAGTGTGTGATTGACAGTGAGTGTGAGTGTGTGACTGTGATTGACAGTGAGTGTGTGATTGACAGCAAGTGAAAGTGTGTGACTGTGATTGACAGCGAGTGTGAGTGTGTGATTGACAGCGAGTGTGAGTGTGTGATTGACAGCGAGTGTGAGTGTGTGATTGAGTGTGTGATTGACAGTGAGTGTGAGTGTGTGATTGAGCGAGCGAGCTGATGTTAACTGTGAGCTTCGGTCCCACACTCGCTCTCCTCAGGAATATCCTGCAGATCTGAGAACATAAGCACAGGAAAACAACACCAGTCAATCAGTGCAGCTTTACTTGTTTGTTCTCAAGTTTGTTTATTATTCTCGATAGCTATGATTCACTCTAAAGTCTTTTGCAGAAAAAATGGAATAATCGCTGAAACATCTGTAAATAAAGCAGCGTTTTCATCGTAATCGTCACTCCCTGGGAAATTAATATGATTAATAACTGTTTCTGCAATCTTTCTCTTGTACCTCGAGCGTCACCATAAACGAGTGTGTGTCGGGCGTCATCATAAACGAGTGTGTGTCGAGCGTCATCATAAACGAGTGTGTGTCGGGCGTCACCATAAACGAGTGTGTGTCGGGCGTCACCATAAACGAGTGTGTGTCGAGCGTCACCATAAACGAGTGTGTGTCGGGCGTCACCATAAACGAGTGTGTGTCGAGCGTCACCATAAACGAGTGTGTGTCGAGCGTCACCATAAACGAGTGTGTGTCAAGCGTCACCATAAACGAGTGTGTGTCGGGCGTCACCATAAACGAGTGTGTGTCGAGCGTCACCATAAACGAGTGTATGTCGCGCGTCACCATAAACGAGTGTGTGTCGAGCGTCACCATAAACGAGTGTGTGTCGAGCGTCACCATAAACGAGTGTGTGTCGGGCGTCACCATAAACGAGTGTGTGTCGGGCGTCACCGTAAACGAGTGTGTGTCGAGCGTCACCATAAACGAGTGTGTGTCGAGCGTCACCATAAACGAGTGTGTGTCGGGCGTCACCATAAACGAGTGTGTGTCGAGCGTCACCATAAACGAGTGTGTGTCGGGCGTCATCATAAACGAGTGTGTGTCGAGCGTCACCATAAACGAGTGTGTGTCGGGCGTCACCATAAACGAGTGTGTGTCGAGCGTCACCATAAACGAGTGTGTGTCGGGCGTCATCATAAACGAGTGTGTGTCGAGCGTCACCATAAACGAGTGTGTGTCGGGCGTCATCATAAACGAGTGTGTGTCGAGCGTCATCATAAACGAGTGTGTGTCGAGCGTCACCATAAACGAGTGTGTGTCGAGCGTCACCATAAACGAGTGTGTGTCGGGCGTCACCATAAACGAGTGTGTGTCGGGCGTCACCATAAACGAGTGTGTGTCGAGCGTCACCATAAACGAGTGTGTGTCGAGCGTCACCATAAACGAGTGTGTGTCGGGCGTCACCATAAACGAGTGTGTGTCGGGCGTCACCATAAACGAGTGTGTGTCGAGCGTCACCATAAACGAGTGTGTGTCGAGCGTCACCATAAACGAGTGTGTGTCGAGCGTCACCATAAACGAGTGTGTGTCGGGCGTCACCATAAACGAGTGTGTGTCGAGCGTCACCATAAACGAGTGTGTGTCGGGCGTCACCATAAACGAGTGTGTGTCGAGCGTCACCATAAACGAGTGTGTGTCGAGCGTCACCATAAACGAGTGCGTGTCAAGCGTCACCATAAACGAGTGCGTGTCGGGCGTCACCATAAACGAGTGCGTGTCGGGCGTCACCATAAACGAGTGCGTGTCGAGCGTCACCATAAACGAGTGTGTGTCGGGCGTCACCGTAAACGAGTGTGTGTCGAGCGTCACCGTAAACGAGTGTGTGTCGAGCATCACCATAAACGAGTGTGTGTCGAGCGTCACCGTAAACGAGTGTGTGTCGGGCGTCACCATAAACGAGTGTGTGTCGAGCGTCACCATAAACGAGTGTGTGTCGGGCGTCACCATAAACGAGTGTGTGTCGAGCGTCACCATAAACGAGTGTGTGTCGAGCGTCACCATAAACGAGTGTGTGTCGAGCGTCACCATAAACGAGTGTGTGTCGGGCGTCACCATAAACGAGTGTGTGTCGGGCGTCACCATAAACGAGTGTGTGTCGGGCGTCACCGTAAACGAGTGTGTGTCGGGCGTCACCGTAAACGAGTGTGTGTCGGGCGTCACCGTAAACGAGTGTGTGTCGGGCGTCACCGTAAACGAGTGTGTGTCGGGCGTCACCATAAACGAATGTGTGTCGAGCGTCACCATAAACGAGTGTGTGTCGGGCGTCACCATAAACGAGTGTGTGTCGGGCGTCACCATAAACGAGTGTGTGTCGGGCGTCACCGTAAACGAGTGTGTGTCGGGCGTCACCGTAAACGAGTGTGTGTCGGGCGTTACCATAAACGAGTGTGTGTCGGGCGTCACCATAAACGAGTGTGTGTCGGGCGTCACCGTAAACGAGTGTGTGTCATAAACGAGTGTGTGTCAAGCGTCACCATAAACGAGTGTGTGTCGGGCGTCACCATAAACGAGTGTGTGTCGAGCGTCACCATAAACGAGTGTGTGTCAAGCGTCACCATAAACGAGTGTGTGTCGAGCGTCACCATAAACGAGTGTGTGTCGGGCGTCACCATAAACGAGTGTGTGTCAAGCGTCACCATAAACGAGTGTGTGTCGGGCGTCACCATAAACGAGTGTGTGTCGAGCGTCACCATAAACGAGTGTGTGTCAAGCGTCACCATAAACGAGTGTGTGTCGAGCGTCACCATAAACGAGTGTGTGTCGGGCGTCGCCATAAACGAGTGTGTGTCGAGCGTCACCATAAACGAGTGTGAGTGTGTGTCGGGCGTCACCATAAACGAGTGTGTGTCGGGCGTCACCATAAACGAGTGTGTGTCGGGGCGTCACCATAAACGAGTGTGTGTCGGGCGTCACCATAAACGAGTGTGTGTCGAGCGTCACCATAAACGAGTGTGTGTCGGGCGTCACCATAAACGAGTGTGTGTCGGGCGTCACCATAAACGAATGTGTGTCGAGCGTCACCATAAACGAGTGTGTGTCGGGCGTCACCATAAACGAGTGTGTGTCGGGCGTCACCATAAACGAGTGTGTGTCAAGCGTCACCATAAACGAGTGTGTGTCGGGCGTCACCATAAACGAATGTGTGTCGAGCGTCACCATAAACGAGTGAGTGTCGGGCGTCACCATAAACGAGTGTGTGTCGGGCGTCACCATAAACGAATGTGTGTCGAGCGTCACCATAAACGAGTGTGTGTCGGGCGTCACCATAAACGAGTGTGTGTCGGGCGTCACCGTAAACGAGTGTGTGTCGGGCGTCACCGTAAACGAGTGTGTGTCGGGCGTCACCGTAAACGAGTGTGTGTCGGGCGTTACCATAAACGAGTGTGTGTCGGGCGTCACCATAAACGAATGTGTGTCGGGCGTCACCATAAACGAGTGTGTGTCGGGCGTCACCGTAAACGAGTGTGTGTCGGGCGTCACCGTAAACGAGTGTGTGTCGGGCGTTACCATAAACGAATGTGTGTCGGGCGTCACCATAAACGAGTGTGTGTCGAGCGTCACCATAAACGAGTGTGTGTCGGGCGTCACCATAAACGAATGTGTGTCGGGCGTCACCGTAAACGAGTGTGTGTCGGGCGTCACCGTAAACGAATGTGTGTCGGGCGTCACCATAAACGAGTGTGTGTCGAGCGTCAGCATAAACGAGTGTGTGTGTCGGGCGTCACCATAAACGAGTGTGTGTCGGGCGTCACCATAAACGAGTGTGTGTCGGGCGTCACCATAAACGAGTGTGTGTCGGGCGTCACCATAAACGAGTGTGTGTCGGGCGTCACCATAAACGAGTGTGTGTCGGGCGTCACCATAAACGAGTGTGTGTCGGGCGTCACCATAAACGAGTGTGTGTCGGGCGTCACCATAAACGAGTGTGTGTCGAGCGTCACCATAAACGAGTGTGTGTCGAGCGTCACCATAAACGAGTGTGTGTCGGGCGTCACCATAAACGAGTGTGTGTCGGGCGTCACCGTAAACGAGTGTGTGTCGGGCGTCACCATAAACGAGTGTGTGTCGGGCGTCACCATAAACGAATGTGTGTCGGGCGTCAGCATAAACGAGTGTGTGTCGGGCGTCACCGTAAACGAGTGTGTGTCGGGCATCACCGTAAACGAGTGTGTGTCGGGCGTTACCATAAACGAATGTGTGTCGGGCGTCACCGTAAACGAGTGTGTGTCGGGCGTTACCATAAACGAATGTGTGTCGGGCGTCACCATAAACGAGTGTGTGTCGGGCGTCACCATAAACGAGTGTGTGTCATGTCTTCTAATCAGATAAATGATCTGCCTACGTTATTTATGCGCATTATTAGAGTCTATGCACATCTTGGCTTTTCCATTCAGCATTTTTATGCAAGATCCCAAAAAAAGCATAAAAATATGTGGATGGAAACATGCCTACTGATAGTTTGCAAAAATAAATTATATAAACTGTGTATCTAATGCTATAATCTCATGTCACCGTTCATGTGAAGCATTAGGGGTGTGTGATATGTATTGTCTTTGATCATATCTGAGAAAGGGATTCCTAAACATGTTTTCAACTCATGAATCCCGTTGCAGTTCCTCCACAGACCACTAGGTGTTGGCAAACCGCAGTTTGGGAAGCTTGATGATGTGCATCATGTGCTGGTCTTTCCATGGTTTATAATTGAAAGACATGGATGTTTAATTGAATGAAAAATTAAGCGCATAAGTAGGGTTTGGTATCCTTTGAATTTGAAGTATTCTGATTCTAGTAGATTCCAATAAGGTAAAAAAAAAAGACTTTAGATATCATTCACATTTAGTCTTATTGCAAAACATTTAATTGTAGCTGAATATCATGACCAGAAATCATCAGGCTGAAGAACACTTACTCAAGGAGCGTTTGCCTGTGGTTTAAAAACAGAGTTGTTTAAGAACAACTAGCCTAACTAATATAAATGTTATTAAGGAAAAGTAAACACTCAGTCTGATAAAAACTTAGCAATCGCACCGAATAGACACAACTGAACAAAGATACGATAGAAATAAACAGTGTTTTAAGATTTTCAGGTACAGGAACCGGAATCAAATGTAAAATAACACTGACTGTCCGCTCGAGGAGGCATGGCCTTCTTGCCGTCGTCCGCCGGGTCCGACTGATCCACTGTGTCCTGGGCTTTCTTCGGCTCCTGTTTCTGAACCGGCGCTCCGTTGCTCGTCTGGTTCTGGGCGGCCCGGAGTCGCATCACTTCTCCTTGCAGGAGGTTGTATTTGCGCTGTAGCTCGGTCATCTCGGGCCCGGCCGGCTCTAGCAGAGGCTCATGGGACACGCTCGAGTCCTTCTGCAAGTACACCTCCAGGAACGAGTCCTGCCGGATCACCGCAGCCTACACACACAGCGAGAGTGTTTGATAAAGATGCTTCGCCACCGTCTCGTAATCAAACAAATGTGTTTTAAGCTTCTCATAATGACTTTATAATACTGTTCCTTCATTAAAGGGTTATTTCACCCAAACATATAAACTCTGCCAGTAATAATGACTCTCCTTCATGTTGTTCAACCCCGTACGACTTTCGTTCGTCTTCGGGACACAAATTAAGATATTTGTGCTTAAATCTAAGAGCTGGATCACTCCTCCATAGGCTTCTACTGTAATTGAAACTTGCCGGCCCAGAAAGTTAGTAAAGACATCGTTAAAATAGTCCGAGTGACAACAGTGGATCAACCTTAAGATTATCAAGCGACAGGAATACTTTCTGTGCGCAAAAAACACAAAAATAACGACTTTATTCAACTCTTCATCTCCTTCTCTGTGGGCCGTGAGATTTCCGTGTCCTACAAGAACACTTTTTGTGTAATAAGTACTAATTACAGACAGAATTCCCATTTTTGGGTGAATAAACGTTTTATGAGTAACGCACTATTATTAACATTATCGCAACTACTATTAACTAACAAGAAACTCTGATTAATGAAGAGTCAGTAACAGCGCTCAGCTGAATGTGGAAGTTCACTATTAGATGTCAATAAGCACTGACCTGTAGAGCGTGTAGTTGAGTGCTGAGGTTCACCAGTCTCTGACACACCTCCTGAAACACAAACACTCAGTCATCTCTGCTCTCATCTTCACACACACACCTCGCTTCCTGAAGACGTACCTCGCTGAAAGTCCTGTCCTGCAGCTGGTTCCCATTCCTGTCCTGTGAGAGCCATTAAACATCAATCAATCCAGTATGCACTGCGACATCCACTCAAGTCTCCTGTAATGTGTCAAACCCTCACCTTGTTAGATGGACCGTTTACTTCATGAGTCCCGTTCACTGATATCGTTCCTTCAGCTGAAAATATGAGAGATGGAGAAGTATTAATATCTTCGGTGTGTGTTACATGCACACCACTGGAGAGAATATAATCCAATATAAACAAAACAAGATTTGGACACATTACTACGTCATTTTATTACTTACTTTTTATAAATAGATATATTTTTTTATTGATTAAATAATCTGATAATTGTGGTTTGGGCCTGACTTTCCATTCTACTGTAGTGTTCAATGCTATTATTACTCATTTTAGTCCAGAAACTGAAACAAGGAAGTAGTATCACTCGCAATATTCCTCATTATAATAATTCATGCGCAGAATAAAGGGGCGGGGCCTGGTTGAGTTAGTTAGTAGTGTGTTAAACTGGCGGTTATGGAAAGGGGCGGGACACTTCCCAAACACACTCGACCAATCACACTGCTGACCAATCAGAGCACAGTGTGCTTATCAGGAGGAGGGGCTTCATAGAGACAGGAAGTAAACAGAGCGTTCCTGACAGACTGGGAAGAGAGGAGCCGCAACAATGGAGAATATGAGGAGAATAATCAACATTCAAGCAGGAGAACCTGTTCTAGGAGAGCCTGAAACACATCGAGACTGTGTTAGAGGGCAGAATAGGTCTGCTAAAGATGAACAAGGTACCTGTTGTTTTGGAGGTGAATTGTACCTCTGTGGGTTCACCATTGAGTCTGCAGGACTGTGGCCGGTCAATGCATGAAGCCAACAGCACTTCACTCAGCCTGTCCACTGAAGGGTGACATAAAGAAGAGAGCAGTCTTAATGTCTTCATTGCTAAGCTGTGTATTCTCTGAGCTCTCCTCTGCTTACCCTCAACAATGGCTTGATTCAGCAGCCGCTCCGCCTGAGGAGCCGAGGGAGTCTCTGCTCTGAATATATTCCTGGAGTTTGTGGGAACGGTAACAGTGTGACCTCCGGTGACCTCAGCCAAGTCAGAGAAGAGCGTCACGCGCTCCTGTAACAGCTCCAGAACCTCACGGTCCTTCTGCTGGATATCAGCTAGACACAGAGAGAGAGAGAGCAATGAAATGAATCTGAGCGGTCTGACGACAGACACAGACGAGTGCTGGGATATAAAACATGTTTAGTTGATACAAACCTCTGAGTCTGCGCAGCAAAGCTTTGTCCTCAGTCTCAATCAGAGGGAAATCCTCTCGTGAAGGACAGCTGTAGAAGAGAACAGAGAGCAGCAGATGAGGCGTTTGGCGGGGACTGTGTAGAGATATATCTTGGTTGAGGAGTTGTGAGTTGACTCTGACTTGCTCACTGTCTGCTGAATGATCTTCATCCAGGTGTTTCTGTCTTCTTTGGAGGCGGCGTGGAGCTCGTACATCTCTGGAGGCGTGGAGTGGCTGATGAGGAACATTCCTCGCTCCTGATTGGCTATATGTCTCACAATCAGGTTCTGAAGGCACAGCACTGATGGCTTGTCCTGTGAAGCCCGCGAGATTTGGTCAGCTTGATTTTGATGTGGGATGATGCAGGTCATGACATAAATGATGCGTTGTTAGAATCCATTGATAGCCAGCCAATGGAAAGCTGTGACTCACCAGACAGGGGAAAATAAACTTCTGGTCTTTTTCTTGCATGAACACCAGGATGTCCGTCATTAACAAAACTTGCACATCTATACAGATAAAATCACAGAGTTACTGATTAACCTATCTGGATCCCAACGATTTCACTCACAGCCATGTTTTTCAGGATAAATGAATGTTCTCATAGACACTGTTTATTCTGTTATTGTGCTCCCAAGAGGCCAAGAGTCATGTTTATTTTCACACATCCTCAAATTGAGCTCATACATAGTGTGTGCCAATTTTGATGAACATATCTCATTCTGTTCAAAGTTAAAGTCAAAGTCAGCTTTATTGTCAATTTCTTCACATGTCAAGACATACAAGAGATTGAAATTACGTTTCCCTCTATCCCACGGTGTACAGACAAAAAAAAAAGAGTTCAAGAGTTATAGTCATTTCAGTGACGGCAAAAAAATCTCCAGATAATCTTTTTGCACTGGTTTATTACTGTAGTGTTGCCCTGTCTACCGGACGATGGTATAACAGTAATAATGGCACCTTTGAGTCTGCCGGACGATGGTATAACAGTAATAATGGCACCTTTGAGTCTGCTGGACGATGGTATAACAGTAATAATGGCACCTTTGAGTCTGCCGGACGATGGTATAACAGTAATAATGGCACCTTTGAGTCTGCCGGACGATGGTATAACAGTAATAATGGCACCTTTGAGTCTGCTGGACGATGGTATAAACAGTAATAATGGCACCTTTGAGTCTGCTGGACGATGGTATAACAGTAATAATGGCACCTTTGAGTCTGATGGACGATGGTATAACAGTAATAATGGCACTTTGAGTCTGATGGAGACGATGGTATAACAGTAATAATGGCACCTTTGAGTCTGCTGGACGATGGTATAACAGTAATAATGGCACCTTTGAGTCTGCTGGACGATGGTATAACAGTAATAATGGCACCTTTGAGTCTGCTGGACGATGGTATAACAGTAATAATGGCACCTTTGAGTCTGATGGACGATGGTATACACAGTAATAATGGCACCTTTGAGTCTGCCGGACGATGGTATAACAGTAATAATGGCACCTTTGAGTCTGATGGACGATGGTATAAACAGTAATAATGGCACCTTTGAGTCTACCGGACGATGGTATAACAGTAATAATGGCACCTTTGAGTCTGCTGGACGATGGTATAACAGTAATAATGGCACCTTTGAGTCTGATGGACGATGGTATAACAGTAATAATGGCACCTTTGAGTCTGCTGGACGATGGTAATAACAGTAATAATGGCACCTTTGAGTCTGCTGGACGATGGTATAACAGTAATAATGGCACCTTTGAGTCTGATGGACGATGGTATAACAGTAATAATGGCACCTTTGAGTCTGATGGACGATGGTATAACAGTAATAATGGCACCTTTGAGTCTGCTGGACGATGGTATAACAGTAATAATGGCACCTTTGAGTCTGCCGGACGATGGTATAACAGTAATAATGGCACCTTTGAGTCTGCTGGACGATGGTATAACAGTAATAATGGCACCTTTGAGTCAGCCGGACGATGGTATAACAGTAATAATGGCACCTTTGAGTCTGCCGGACGATGGTATAACAGTAATAATGGCACCTTTGAGTCAGCCGGACGATGGTATAACAGTAATAATGGCACCTTTGAGTCTGCCGGACGATGGTATAACAGTAATAATGGCACCTTTGAGTCTGCCGGACGATGGTATAAACAGTAATAATGGCACCTTTGAGTCTGATGGACGATGGTATAACAGTAATAATGACACCTTTGTGTCTGCCGGACGATGGTATAACAGTAATAATGGCACCTTTGAGTCTGCCGGACGATGGTATAACAGTAATAATGGCACCTTTGAGTCTGCCGGACGATGGTATAACAGTAATAATGGCACCTTTGAGTCTGATGGACGATGGTATAACAGTAATAATGACACCTTTGAGTCTGCCGGACGATGGTATAACAGTAATAATGGCACCTTTGAGTCTGCCGGACGATGGTATAAACAGTAATAATGGCACCTTTGAGTCTGCGGACGATGGTATAACAGTAATAATGGCACCTTTGAGTCTGATGGACGATGGTATAACAGTAATAATGGCACCTTTGAGTCTGATGGACGATGGTATAACAGTAATAATGACACCTTTGTGTCTGCCGGACAATGGTATAACAGTAATAATGGCACCTTTGAGTCTGGATCCCTGCGCAGTCTTCCACAGCAGCGATCCCTCATGAATGAGCCCGCGCCGCAGAAGCTCTCCTCCACGAAACACTCCTCCACCCTTCACTTTAGTCTCGGCCCGCGGGTCCATACGCGACTGGATCTCCTGCAGACGCTGAGCTCGCTCTAACTCCTGAACCTGCTGATCCACCGAACACAACAGCTCCCGGATCAGAGCCAGAGACTGAGCCAGAGACTTACTCTCCTCTTCACTCCCTGTCAAACCAAATACAGTGTGTTCTCAGATCAGCGAGGGAAACACAGGGCCATTTACAGTCGATGAGGAGCTCAGGCCCTCGTTCTCTATCCCTTAGGGTTTATTAGGGTTGGGTATCGGTTAAATTTTAACAATTCCGATTTCAATTTTGCTTATCGATTCCGATTCTTATTGATTCTTAATTTCAATTCCGAAAATGTAACAAAAAAAATATCATTCACATTTAGTTTTATTGCAAAACATTTAATTGTACCTGAATATCATGAACAAAAATTATCAGGCGAAAGTACACTTACACAAGGAGCGTTTGCCTGTGGTTTAAAAACACCATAGAAGAGCAACTAGCCTAACTAATATAGAAATGTAGATTATTATTAAAGACCATACACTCTTAAAAAAAACTAATAAAAATTCGTAAAACAGACTGAACAACTGAACAAATGAATAAATAAACAAAGTTTTAATATTTTCAGGTACAGAGACTAATCAAATGTAAATAACACTGTACTTTATACATATAATATATATTACAAATATAGTTACAAAGGTTATTCAGTGAAGAATGAGTGAATTTTCTCTTTGTCTTGTGTTGTGTGATTATAAAGACGGCAGGAATATTAGTGCTGTCAGTTTAAGAGCTACACGGGTCCAGTACACTGATACACACGCCTGCAACACTGAAAACTGAGTCTCTCACACTTGAAATGTCATATTGAAATGCTCACAAAGGAATCGATATGAGGAATTGAAATATGAAATTTTACATTTTTATAACAAGTATCCGATTCCAGAATTGAAAACGATTTTGATTCCCAACCCTAGTGTTGATGCTGAACTGTTGGCCATGATGCACATTATGACGCTGACATGTAGTCTGACCTTTAGTGTTGTCCAGTATGCGCTGGATGAGCACGGGGTATTTAGTGATGCGCTGCGTGACCAGTAAGATGCACTCCTGCACTCCGTGGCGGCGCAGTAGAGAACCTCTGCTCACACGCTTCACAGGACAGCAGAGCAGACGTTAGAAACCAAATATATTTCATTAAATCACCCCACACACAGAAGTAAGCGAGCCGGACGCATGTGTGTTCTCTCACCCGAATGAACTGCTGGAAGCGCTTGTCCCGGGCCAGCAGCTCCTTGTAGAGTTTCACTGCTTTCAGGTGCCGACTGCAGAACTCAACATAACACTTCCTCATCTCTTCTGCGTTCTGACCTGAGAACTGATGCACACGACACACACACACTCATGTCAGAACACAGACCCGTCTGAACTGAGCCCTGGTCAGTTGTTACTGCACACTGTGCCTGTTTGGTGGTCTTAGAATGATCCTAAGAATCCTTAGTGCCCTCCAAAATGCATTTCCAAACTCACCTGATATTTATATCACAGAAATCCTAAAATCATGTTTTCCAATATCTTACTTTCGTACTGACGACTAGAATAGTTGATTCCAAATGATTCCAAGAAGAGTCTGCCAAATGTATAAATGTAAATAACAGTTATTGATGAGGGATTTGTGTGTTTTGTTTTGTTGTTACCCACTTCATCTTCATCTTGAAGATGCTTGTGGTTATGCATACTTTACTGTCTTTGGGTTCAGCACGCATCATGGGACCCAATATATACGGTCTTGTTTTAACCGCTGGACATGCAGAACTTCTCTGTGAGCAGTGTGGAGAAGTGTACTTTATATCGAGACACAGATAAGCTGCATGTCTTGTCCTGCAGTCAGATGAGTGGCGTTTAACGTGTGAGTGCCGGTGTTGTGCCGGATTCTGACCCTCGCCAGATTATTACCCCCCTAAATCCCCCAGAATGGGTAGGATTAGGTGTGGGGGAGGGGTTGGGATTAGACATTGGGGTGGGGAGATGTGGGGAGGAGTTATGATTAGGGTTGGAGTTAGGAATGGGAATAGGATATAGGAATAGGAATAAGGTTAGGAATAGGATTAGGTGTGGGAGGAGTTATGATTAGATATGGGGGTGGAGTTAGGATTAGGTGTGGGAGGAGTTATGATTAGATATGGGGTGGAGTTAGGATTAGGTGTGGGAGGAGTTACGATTAGATATGGGGGTGGAGTTAGGATTAGGTGTGGGAGGAGTTACGATTAGATATGGGGGTGGAGTTAGGATTAGGTGTGGGAGGAGTTATGATTAGATATGGGGGTGGAGTTAGGATTAGGTGTGGGAGGAGTTATGATTAGTTATGGAGGTTGAGTTAGGATTAGGTGTGGGAGGAGTTATGATTAGATATGGGGGTGGAGTTAGGATCAGGTGTGGGAGGAGTTACGATTAGATATGGGGGTGGAGTTAGGATTAGGTGTGGGAGGAGTTATGATTAGATATGGGGGTGGAGTTAGGATTAGGTGTGGGAGGAGTTATGATTAGTTATGGAGGTTGAGTTAGGATTAGGTGTGGGAGGAGTTATGATTAGATATGGGGGTGGAGTTAGGATTAGGTGTGGGAGGAGTTACGATTAGATATGGGGGTGGAGTTAGGATTAGGTGTGGGAGGAGTTATGATTAGATATGGGGTGGAGTTAGGATTAGGTGTGGGAGGAGTTATGATTAGTTATGGAGGTTGAGTTAGGATTAGGTGTGGGAGGAGTTATGATTAGATATGGGGGTGGAGTTAGGATTAGGTGTGGGAGGAGTTACGATTAGATATGGGGGTGGAGTTAGGATTAGGTGTGGGAGGAGTTATGATTAGGGGTGGAGTTAGGATTAGGTTTGGGAAGTGTTATGATTAGTTATGGAGGTTGAGTTAGGATTAGGTGTGGGAGGAGTTATGATTAGATAAGGGGGTGGAGTTAGGATTAGGTGTGGGAGGAGTTACGATTAGATATGGGGGTGGAGTTAGGATTAGGTGTGGGAGGAGTTATGATTAGATATGGGGGTGGGGTTATGATTAGGTGTGGGAAGAGTTATGATTAGATATGGGGGTGGAGTTAGGATTAGGTGTGGGAGGAGTTATGATTAGTTATGGAGGTTGAGTTAGGATTAGGTGTGGGAGGAGTTATGATTAGATATGGAGGTGGGTTAGGATTAGGTGTGGGAGGAGTTATGATTAGATATGGGGGTGGAGTTAGGATTAGGTGTGGGAGGAGTTATGATTAGATATGGGGTGGAGTTAGGATTAGGTGTGGGAGGAGTTATTATTAGATATGGAGGTTGAGTTAGGATTAGGTGTGGGAGGAGTTATGATTAGATATGGGGTGGAGTTAGGATTAGGTGTGGGAGGAGTTATGATTAGATATGGAGGTGGAGTTAGGATTAGGTGTGGGAGGAGTTATGATTAGATATGGAGGTGGAGTTAGGATTAGGTGTGGGAGGAGTTATGATTAGATATGGAGGTGGAGTTAGGATTAGGTGTGGGAGGAGTTATGATTAGATATGGAGGTGGAGTTAGGATTAGGTGTGGGAGGAGTTATGATTAGATAAAGAGGTGGAGTTAGGATTAGGTGTGGGAGGAGTTAGGATTAGATATGGGGGTGGAGTTAGGATTAGGCGTGGGAGGAGTTATGATTAGATATGGGGTGGAGTTAGGATTACGTGTGGGAGGAGTTATGATTAGATATGGGGTTGGGGTTATGATTAGGTGTGGGAGGAGTTATGATTAGATAAAGAGGTGGAGTTAGGATTAGGTGTGGGAGGAGTTATGATTAGATATGGGGTGGAGTTAGGATTAGGTGTGGGAGGAGTTATGATTAGATAAAGAGGTGGAGTTAGGATTAGGTGTGGGAGGAGTTAGGATTAGATATGGGGTGGAGTTAGGATTAGGTGTGGGAGGAGTTATGATTAGATATGGGGTGGAGTTAGGATTACGTGTGGGAGGAGTTATGATTAGATATGGGGGTGGAGTTAGGATTAGGTGTGGGAGGGGTTATGATTAGATATGGGGTGGAGTTAGGATTAGGTGTGGGAGGAGTTATTATTAGATATGGAGGTTGAGTTAGGATTAGGTGTGGGAGGAGTTATGATTAGATATGGGGTGGAGTTAGGATTAGGTGTGGGAGGGGTTATGATTAGATATGGGGGTGGAGTTAGGATTAGGTGTGGGAGGAGTTATGATTAGATATGGGGTGGAGTTAGGATTAGGTGTGGGAGGAGTTATGATTAGATATGGGGTGGAGTTAGGATTAGGTGTGGGAGGGGTTATGTTTAGATATGGAGGTGGAGTTAGGATTAGGTGTGGGAGGGGTTATGATTAGATATGGGGTGGAGTTAGGATTAGGTGTGAGAGGGGTTATGTTTAGATATGGGGTGGAGTTAGGATTAGGTGTGGGAGGAGTTATGATTAGATATGGGGGTGGGGTTATGATTAGGTGTGGGAGGGGTTATGTTTAGATATGGGGTGGAGTTAGAATTAGGTGTGGGAGGAGTTATGATTAGATATGGGGTGGAGTTATGATTAGGTGTGGGAGGGGTTATGTTTAGATATGGGGGTGGGGTTATGATTAGGTTGGTTAGGCAATATTGAGTTTTTAATTAAAGACAGGCACATTTGTTCAGTAAACCACAGGTTTGTTTGTGTTTCCCTGCTGTAATGACAACCAAACCTTGACTTCAAAACTGAGGAACTAGAGCTGCACAATTCTGGATAAATACGTTTTAAAAAGATCTACTAAAGGTTCTGACAATGTGTTCAAAACATCTGTGTGTTGGTTGCAGCCCTGACTGGTGAGTGAGCAGGTCACCTGGTCCACCAGTATGTCTCCCAGCCGCTGTATGGTGAAGTTGCGAGTGCTACTGGGAGCCAGGCTGTGGTTCCTCCTCTGCAGGAGCTGGCTCAGGAAGCTGGAGTGGATGGACAGGAGCTGGTCCAGGCAGGGGAAGATGGCGTTCACTACACCCGTCTCCATCAGCACCTCCTCCATCATGCCTCTGCGGAACACCCCGTCCATGATGCGCAGCGTCCGCACGTGGTTCAGCTCCGTCTGGATCAGCTCTGCACAACACAGGACACACACCGGTGAGGGCGGCTGCTGTTCTCTATAGGCGGAGCGAGGGCTCGCGCGACTCAGGACTGTGCTTTAGAGTCTCGGCGTCCAGTGATTATGAAAACATGACGCTGCATGATCCTGTCTTTTAAAGGTGCAGTGTGTAATATTTATGAGGATCTGTTGACAGATATGCAATATCATATACATAACTGTTAGAAAGATCATAATGAAGCGCTGTGTGTTTATTAGCTCAGAATGAGGCGTACACACACCGCAAGTTCATCCACAAGTTTCTACGGTGGCCCTGAATGGACAAACGCGTTTCCTCACTATGTTGTTGTTTGTGATCAGAAGCTGCTAAAGTCCGCGAATAAAACACTGACACAATGATGAACAAGTAACAATATTATTCACAATAACATCGTTTTACTGATGATGAAGTAAATGTTCTTCATTTATCTTTGTAAAGAAACCTCATTGCTTAACCGTCTACTCTCTGCAGTCTCAGACGATGACATCACTTCCTGTCAGCCACTGTAACTTCTGTTGGGTGCAGTTCTCAAACTCACCACTAGAGCCGCTAGATATCCCACACCGCGCCTTTACTATGAGAAACAGCTGAATAACTAAGAGACGCCAGTGCTCGTGCGTTAGAAGATGTCAGATGTGGATCCCAGTGTCGATCCGGCCCACGTCCGGTAAGCGCTGAGTCCACACGTGCCGGATGTGGGCCGGATCTGGGCCGGCACTGTGTTCCGGTCTGGGCTGTGAAAAGTTTGTGTATTTCGATGTTTTTCAGATTTGAAGATGATGGTTACAACCCATTTAGATGATGAATTACACCTTAAATGTACATTTATTCCACACTTTCACTGGTTTTCCTCGCTTGAGTGGAGCAGAAATAACTCCCGACCCGAGCCGAGGAAGACTGAACACACGAGGAAGTCCACCGAACAGGGGACAGGCCACGACTAATTAGAGACTAATGAACTAACTAAAACAAACCGGAACTGCTTTAAATGCGCAGTGCATACATCGAACCCAGGGCAGAACCGCCAGCGCCCCGGAGTCGGCAGACTCTCACCGTAAATGACGTCTTGCCTCTTGATGACGTCTTTGCGCTGCGACTGCAGGTACGAGGAGTCCACAGCCATACTCCAGGAGTCCACCTCGAAGTCCTTCCCGTCCCGCTCCAGCTCCTCCAGCAACGAGGCGTAGTACAGCTCTCCTGCGGACACCAGTGTGTGTGTGAGGACTACAGGTGTGTACAGGTGTGTGTGTGTGTGTGTGTGGAGCTGCACCTTCATCGTTGAGGGACTCCATGGACATGGCTCTGTTCCTGAAGTTCAGCGAGTCTGTGGAGTGAGAGAGGATCCGCCTCAGGCCGAGCGGAGAGTCGTCACTCAGACTTCTGTGGGACACACACACACACACACACACACACACACGTTAGAGCTAAGGCTTCACAAAACATGCGCACAGTTAATAATAGGCCAAGCACCACACACTCTTAAAGGGGTCATGAACTGGTTTTTTAAATTGTATTATATTGTTGTCTGAGGTCGACTTATGACGTTCGCTGGTTTTTACATTAAAAACATCAGAATGAATCAGTAATCGGCTATTTTCTACCCTAGCTTTGAGACCAGCTGAATAACGCTGGGTTTTTATGGGCGTCTCGCACTGAAGACTTGGAAGTAAACGCCCACTGCTGTGAGTGGATAACAGTTTTGCATATTATAATGAGTTTCGACTCACCCGTCGGTGTACGTGGGGGAAATTGTTTTGAAAACGTCCAATGTTGTAAAATGGCGACGGGAATGATTGGCCCAAACATGTTGGACCCAGAGTCCGTGTGTTGCACCATTCCTGTCAGATCCAATATAGACGGCACAGCACCGTTCTTTACTCTTAATCGCTCTGCAAATCCAGTCTTGATTACAAAACAATCCTCAGTGAAATGAAGCGAACAGACGGACGATGTTTTACCTCATCAGCTGGAACGTCATTATAAATAAAGTTTATCCATGCAGTCCTATTGGAATCCAAAGGAAGTAGGCATCTATGTTATTTAGCTATGCGTGTAATGCGAGAATCGTTGGGCGGGGCTAAGTCGGCCGTAGGCGTTGATCTTCTTCTGCGGGGGTGGGGCTTTAACCTCTTTGTCGTCATAGTTCCCCACTTTGAAAAACGAGTCGTTTGCAGAGGCTGGTGTCAATAAAAGCTTTTATTGGACTAACGAGGACATTTTCAGTTCTGAAACTTACAGGATATTCTTATAATATGATGACCTCTTAGATGTTTGATTTCTCAGTTAAAGCACACACTCCAGTGATCTGTGCTATCATCACGGACAGATGCTGGAAAAATCACGGTCAACACGAAAGCAAGACTGAAGCCAAACTATTTTGTGTTTTACTATAAGTATGTGGTTATGAATACATCATTACAGTCTGACAAACCCATAACTTGACCTTTGACCTTTTATAGGCCTATTCTCCAGCCCTGATTGGTGAGGCTCTGATTAGTAGGCCGAGAATGAGTGTGTGTTTGTGCAGATCTGGGGTTTCAGAAATTGTGTGACGAGTGAGGATGTGTGTGAGCAGTTGAAGAGCACAGTAACACACACACACACACACACACACTGGTTACCCCGCGATGTTGTTGGTGGAGACGCTCTTGTTGAGGGCGAGCGTGGAGCGACCCCTGCGCGCGCCGAGGAAGGACTGGCGGAGCGTCTCGGAGGCGTAGATGGCGGAGCTCGGCCGCTCCTTCAGGATCGGGTCTGCCGGGAGAGAGGATCACACACACGCTTGACCAGCACACACACACTTCACAGTTCTGCTATTATCATTACGGGTTAGTCAGTCATGAGGAAGAACAGTGTGTGTGTTGGGGACTCACTCTTGCTGCGCAGCGCCACCGTGTGGAGAGTCGCCAGCCGCTGTTGCTGTGTCAGAGAACACACACACACACACACACACACAGATCACACACTTTCAACAACTCAGAAAACAGCCAACACAATAGAAATGCACAATATCCTAAACTTTGTTCTCTCAACATTTGCCTCTGAATCGTATTGCTGGTGAATGAGCGTCGTGCATTAATAATAATAATAATAATAATAATAATAATAGTAATGCAAAATCTTATATTTAAAACATTTTCTGGGAAAGTTTGACCGATTGCTGCGTATGAAGTGACATGATCTACATGTGTTATATTGAACCTTTGGCCGCCAGGATGTTATTAGTTAGACGATGAATCAGTCTGTATTATTATTATTATTATTATTATTATTACATATGCATATGATTTATTGACAAAAACACCTGATATACCCATATCCATCTATATAGGCACATATTTTTCAATACATGAAAAGCGGCAATTCCTTAATATTCAATTTATTGTAATATATGAACACAATATATGACTCTGTATATGTTGAAATACACTGTGCTGCATTGATGACTGATGTGTGTGTGTGTGTGTGTGTGTCGCACCTTCTGCTTCATCTTGGCACAGTTGGCCAGTGTGTCTCGGCAGCGGTTGTGTATCGTCACGTTGCAGGCTGAGGAGACACGACACACTGATTATTAATCATCATCAAACACACACACACTCCAGCAGAAGCGGACGATATCTCCAACACAGGACACATCCGATCAGAGACAACTGAGACTGCTGAAGACACCACAGTTATTGGCCTCATCACTGACAATGATGAATCGGCTTACAGAGAGGAAGTGGAACGGCTGACAGTATGGTGTAAAACACACAACCTTGTCCTTAACACCAAAAAAACTGAGGAGATGGTTGTGGAGTTCAGGAGGAGCAGTCGTCGGCACCATTAGCGGTTCTGGGGTGGATATAGTAAACAGCGTCATGTTCCTGGGGCTCCATCTGATAAATGAGCTGACCTCCAGTGACAACACAACAGCTGTAATCAAGAGGGCACAACAGCGACTTCATTCTGAAGACTGAAGAAGGTAGATCTCCCTATTCCAGCCTTGATCATGTTTTATAGAGGCAGCATCGAGAGCATTCCCACTGAGTCTCTTGCTGGTCTGGGAACAGTACGGCAGAGGAGAGACATGAGCTAAACAGGATCGTGAGAACTGCTGCAAAAATCATTGGTGTGTCACTGCCACATATTCAGGACATCTACACAGAGAGCGTTGTGTGTACAGAGCAAATCGCATCATTGAGGACTTTACTCATTTCTCATGTGCCACGTTCATACTCCTTCAGTCTGCTAAAAGATACAGAAGTATCAGGGCAAGAACTAGTAGGATTTTCCCTCAGCTAGTAGACTTCTTAACCAGAGAACATGATTTGAACTATATATTTATTTACTATTATTATTATTATTCTATTTATTTTAGTAAATCTTTTTATCTTTTTAATGTATTCTAGTATTCTTCCCAGACAGCAAACTGACATTGAATCAACGTGGAAACGACGTCTCTCATGACATTGAAACAACGTTGATTTGCTCATCGAATTAACGTTGAACCAACGTCAGACGCGGCATTCTTCAAAGCTAAATGAAATCGAAAATTGGTTTGCTTTCATAACGTTGAAACAACGCGTTGATTTCAAGTTGATTTTCCGTTAGTTTTGAAAGAATGACGCGTCTGACGTTGGTTCAACGTTAATTCGATGAGCAAAACAATGTCAGATCAACGTTGTTTCGATGTCAGTTTGCTATCTGGGTTATAATTATATTTAAATTGTGCACTGAAAAACTAAATAAAGTATGTGTGAAACACAATTGCATTTTTATGTACACCATGAAAATGACAAATGTGTGTGTGTGATGAGTAGGTTTAGGGGTCGGGTTAGTGTGTGTGTGTGTGATGAGTAGGTTTAGGGGTCGGGTTAGTGTGTTAGTGTGTGTGTGTGTGTGTGTGTGTGTGAGAGCGTCTGCATGTGTTGAGTGTGTGACAGACTGTGTGTTAATCTTCATAAAGCCTTGGTCAGACTCCAGATTACAGGCGTGAGTGAGTGTGTGTGTGTGTGTGTGTGTGTGTGTGTGTGTGTGAGTGAGGCGGGGAGGATTCTGGGTAGCAGCTGTGCGGGGGGGGGGGGGGGGCATCAACACAACAAAAGACCTCGTTCTGCACAACAACAACAGACTTCAGGAGAAGAGCATTATCTGCTCATGCATTGAGGTCATCACACTAAAGTGTGTGTGTGTGTGTGTGTGTGTCTGCTGAATGTCACCTAAGGCTGCTGTTGACCTGGACAAAGGCAAGTCCGTTGAGAGCAGCGACAGCACACACACACACACACACACACACACACACACACACACACACACACGTCTGTATGCTGGAGATGTCAGAGATGAAGAGTTCGTCAGTAATATTGATTGCACTGAGGTGTGTGTGTGTGTGTGTGTGTGTGTGTGTGTGTCAGTGGAGGTCTACATCGCTTCAGCCAATGAGTGTGTGTGACCTTGGACACACTCAATATCTCAATATCATCGACTGGCTTTGAATGAACCTCAGAAACACAAAACAAGAGTGTGTGTGTGTGTGTGTGTGTGTGTGTGTGTGTGTGAGTGGCTTAACTCAAGTCTTCTGAAGCATCATGATCAGGTCACAAATCAAATCAGATCCGCTTGTGCGTGATGACATCATACGGTTCATCACACAATTCCATGATATTGATTTCATTTTTTCCACAATTCCTAGTTAGTTTATCAAACTCCAGCACACGTTTCTCAGGTTCTGTTTATAGAGTTTATAGACGCCTCTTTTCTCCGGTCTGTATTTCCACAGTGATCTTGCATAGGTATGAATGAACTGCTCGTAAAACATTTCCCGGTCGACATTTGTTAAGACATCTGCTTTACAATGCTCATGATAAACATTACAGTGCTCATGATAACTTCTGTTAACTCTACAATAAGTAAATCCACTTCACCAGCTGATTACTCCTCGATGCCATAGAAATATACAGAGCGACCGCGAAAACCGGAAGTTCAAAGACAATATTCTAAAGATGACGGCGACAGAGCCCGTCTAACGGAGAGCCTCGGCACTTCCTATTAGCCCCGTTGTGGATCATCTTGGTTGCAGTTAATTATAATTCCACTGGAGGTGATCGCGGGAGCAGAATGAATGGGAGTCTATGGGGCTAAACGGCTAAATGTGTCTCTTTCACCTGCTTGTCGTTGAATCAACATAGATTTTATTGTTGATTCCGCAAGTTCAATATAGATTATAGGCCAAAAGTCGAATGAACGAGTACTTATGTCCTTTTGATTTCTTACAGGTTAGGCTGTTGTTGGCCGGAGCACGCTAGCATTCTGCTATTGTGTGACATCATCACAGTTTTGAACGGATTTTTAGAACAGATAAGTGAACTTAAAAATGCAATTTTCAGCTGAGTGTATTATCTTAGCCCTCCCTTTTGGATGCAACTTTCAAATTACTTGACAAAAAATTACATCCTGAGAAAAGTGGATTTCTGGGGGTGAAACCCCATTGACTCCCATTCATTCTGCACTCGACCGCGAGCGCCCCCGCATGGACAGAGACGCGTTACTGCAGCCAGTCCAGAACCAGCCAGTGCCTATTCTCGTCAATTAGACATTCTCTGACGGCGCGCTCGTTTCTCTGGTGCATGAGGTCTATACGTCTAAGAAACGTTGAAACAGAGGTTTAGTAGAAACACACTCCCTCCACGGGAACACACTCCTGAGTGTCAGAAGAGCTGCGGAGCGACTGAGTTTATCAGAAGAATCAGAAAAAAAACAAAACAATGACCAGTTTAAAGGTGCATTGTTTAAAAATGTTGAGGATCTATTAACAGAAATGCAGTATGACATCTGTAACTATGTGTTCAGTGGTGTATAAAGACTTTACTTAATAAACCCTAATGTTTTTATTACCTTAGAATGAGACATTTATATCTACATAACCGCACAGCAGCGGTCACTCCGGCTGACGGCCTACAGCACTATCGACTAGGGTTGGGTATCGAGAATCGAGTATCGATTGGAACCGAGACTAACTTTTCGTTTTTCCCGGAATCGTTCAAAAGTTAAAATTTCGATTCCTAGTTTCGATATTCACAGTCCGCCGAGCGGAAGAAGAAACCGCCGAACAACACCAACGAAGAAGCGTCTACCGGAAGTGTTGGCATAACCGCGCGAGTCGAACATGAGTAGCTTACGTCGACGATCCAAAGTGTGGCTTCACTTTTCTAAAAATAAGGAAATCTCGGCAAAATGCAAAATTTGTGACAAAAGGAGTATTTTTACAGAAGGAGTATTTCCTTCAGAAAGGCCGTTGGTTAGCAAGGTTAGCTAAACTTTTTTGACCCTGCCTCTTAAAAGAATCGGAATCGAGAATCGTTAGGAACCGGAATCGAAACAAGGAATCGGAATCAGAATCGTTCAAATTCAAACGATACCCAACCCTACTATCGACTCACTAGGGCAGGACTGTGAGTGTGTGTGTGTGTGTGTGTGTGACTCACTGGGGCAGCTGAGCGCTTCTTTGGCGGTGATGCTCTTGTTGCAGGCGGAGCAGAGAGTGGTGGCCGACACACTGAGGGACGTGAACAGGTGTCCGTTGCTGAACCGAGACTCGCGCTCCTTCGTCTCCTTCTCACGCGCCTTCATCCGCTCCTTCTCCTTATTCTGCACACACACATACACACATATCACATCTTTACATCACTACACACTTCAGCAAACAACAATCCTATAGCAGTACACACATCATTCACTCATGCTGATGACTATTGTAGACACTGAAATTCTGAAAAACTGAATTTGTTCTCACAGTCATGTTTATTTTGGGTGAATTAGACACAACACATATTGTCACTATCCTCCATACATATTGATGCATTTTTTCATTGCGATATATTGTGAAATTATATATTGTTTCAACCCTAGTCTCTTTACATCTTCACCATTGACTATAAGAAGAGGACATCTCAGTCAGAAACTTCTGACTAACTCAAACTCCAAGCCCTCAACAGACACGCCTGTGATTGGCCGCTGTGTTCATACGCTCAACAGACTGTGATTGGTTACAGTGCCATAGTGTGCAGAAAATCTGCTCTTATTTCTGTTCTAGTGTAAATAATGAATTTAGATTTAAAAGTGTGAGTAATTCATTCTACATTTGCACTCGCTAAGACATTAATACGGTGGCCGAGAGGTGCAAAACACATCACAATTATAAAAACAAAACCCTAACCCTTACGCGCACTGTTCAACATGATGGTTATGAATTGCATGAAATATGTTTGGAATCATGTGTCAGATCACATTCATGAAATGATCATGAGAACATTATAATTGTGTGTTTGGGACGTGGATTTATAGGTGAGACTTTTGTTTTTGTTTTGCCAGAATGTTCATCATTGCGCCCCTAGAAATCCCCGTAACACAATACAGTTCCTTCGTTAATGAATAACTACACAAGAACTAATGAGTAACACAATATTAACAATCTAATAACTATTATTAACTAACAAGAAACTCTGATTAACAAACTAGTAAGTAATAGCGCACAGATGAAAGTGGTACTTCACTAATTAAGTAATCTATATTTTTTTAATGCTCCCAGAGAACTACTGAAAGGTTTCATAATTCATGCAAAACTGATAAATAACCAATTCAGAACAAATGACTAGCACTACATTAACATTTGAACTGCTACTGTAAACGACACAAGGTTGTTTGCATTATCCATATGTAATAGCATAGCAGATATGATTTTATGATATGAGCTTATGGTTTGAGAAAGCTGTTAATAATTGGCCTATGCTGTCTATATATCAGCTGATTAATTTTAAAGAAATGGATGTTTAAATGGACTGGCATTGAATCACTGGAGTCATGATGATACTGGGACATACATAGTCATCAGACACCCTAATGCCATACAGTTATTATATTATTTAACCCACCTCCCAAAACAATATGTTTTATGTATGTCTTCTTGCTCATATATATATATATATATATGTATGTGTGTGTGTGTGTGTGTGTTTGTGTGTGTGTGTGTGTGTGTGTGTGTGTGTGTGTGTGTGTGTGCGCATATCTTGTTGTGAGTGAGAAGATTCTACTTTATTGGCTTTTCATTATAACTACTGTAAGAATCATGGGAACTAACTAGTAGTGACTCAAGTGTTATTTCATACTTCTGTGGGAATTACTAATTATTTGGATCCGTATTTTAAAGTGAAGATCATGGGAACTAACTAGTAATGACTCAAGTGTTACAACACACTTCTAAAGAAATTTTCTGCAAGTATAATAAAGTTCACCAAAAATCTCAAACGCTTGAAATGACTTGTGTTTGGTTGCACAAATCATGACTAGATCATGTACACTTGAGTCATTACTGGTTTGTTCCCATGATCCAAATAATTAGCAATTCCCACAGAAGAGTTTCTTGTTAGTTAATAATAGTTATTAGATTGTTAATATTGTGTTGCTCATTGGTTGTTGTGTAGTTATTCATTAACGAAGGACCCGTATTCTAAAGTGTTGCCGAAAGCCCTGATGCATTTGAAGATTTAGGTTTACAAATTTCTCAAAACTTCCCAGCAATAGCCGTCGTTTCTCCGTCTAGGTTAACTGTAGACCTGACTATAGAGTAAAATAAATAAAATAGTAAACTTATATCAAACTAATCATAATTCTGACATCTAACCTTCCTTCTTTAGGCCTGACACTCTCCAGTTTGAACACAATACTCTCAAGTTGGTGTCGAAACCAGTGGGAAATGCTGAAATACTGGACAATATCAAAAATATAAGCGTCTAGAAGAGTAATTCCCGAAGTGGGCGAGCGACGGCTGCAGAGTCTCAGCGTTCGGACAATTTAAACAGCCTAAAATAACTATCGTAGCATATACAGCATATTTAAAAAACATATCAAAACACCAATATACTGATATATTTCATTCAACATTTAAAGTATAAGTCGCCCGCCTCGCTAGGCTTCGCCCTCTGTACTGGCGCGCGCAGTTACAGGCAGAGATTGACATTCGGGATGCAAATTATCGATTAATTAATTAATCATTAGTTGATCAACCTTATCAATCGATTAACGATTAACTGATAAGCGCCTATTTTCCTGAGAATGTAAATTTCTCACAGTATCAATTTAACATAAAAAGCTAAATATTGCTTAAATACTGAATAAAAATGCATGTTATATTGCTCAAATGATGTTTTATGGTAACAGTTGGGATACGTCACAGAATAATGGCATTTATGTAGTTTAACAAAATAAATTATGCACAGAAAAATAAAATACACAAAAATAATTGTGCACTGGCTCACCTGTTGTATGTGAAACATTAAGCAACATAAAATACATTTTAAATAAATACATTTTATAATAATCTATCTGGTAAACTACTTAGTTTACTTAAACTACTGGTTTAGATGTCAATACAGGATTATCACACTGACACGTAGTACTTCTGTGATCTTTGCCCGCACTGCCACTTCCGTTGAATCACCGATCACTCTGGCGAACTGATGACGGACTACACTGGGTTTATTTATACGGCATCCCTTGTAAATTAGTCTGATTCGCTAAAGTGCCGGTGTCGTGCCGAAAAGTGATGGCCGGCCGCGGGAGCGCACGCAGTGTGTTAAAGATGTATCGCCACTCTCTTTACGAATGCAGACCAAACAGATATAACGTCCAAATAAACATCACTCACCCAGTACTTTTCACCTATTGATCTGTGTTGTATTATTTTCATGTTATCACTTTGAAGCTGCTTTGATACAATCTGTATTATAAAAAGCGCTATATAAATAAATGTGACTTGACTTAACTTGACACCAATGTGTCCCTGAGCGAGACACTTAACCCCTAGTTGCTCCAGAGGCGTGCGACCTCTGACATATATAGCAATTGTAAGTCACTTTGGATAAAAGCGTCAGCTAAATTCATGTTCAACCATGCGCACTCATCACACACAACGCTTTAAATCTCTTGACAAACTCAAAGACGTCAAACACTTTTGTGTGTATTCTAAATAAAAGACACAGATTGGACTGAATGTCAGATTGCTTATTCTGCTCAAGATCAGGAGTTACTGAGTCCACGACTCTGCCGGGTGGACGAGTGTGAGGGAGACTCAATAGTGACTATGATGAGATATTTGGCTAATCAAATCATGCAGAAAAGCGTGGGGACGCTAAGAGTACGTCTGCTCTCAGTGTGCCATCTCAGTCACAGTTCATCATGTTACACACACCTGATGCGCTAAGATGATCTTTGGATGGACAACAATCACTTATTATCCCATACAAACTATCTCATATTACAAAACTCAAATCAACACATTAGAAGATTGAAGGCAGTGGTCGTCCGTGTGTGTTCAGTCAGGGTTTGCTAGAGTCCGTTAGAGTCGGAGATCTGAACAGGAACAGGAAGTCACACACGCTACTTCCTCTTCTGTGGTTAAAGGTTAAAGCATGAAGGGAAGTTACACTCGTCTTTTCATATCGAGAGAAACGCTTCTGGAGCAGGAGCACATGTGGGCGGGGCTTGATTGTGTCAGTGGGGAGCTGATTGGCTGGTTGTGGTTTGCTATTGGCTGATCTCATGTGAGTGACAGGTTAAATCATCATCAGAGAAGAGATGCTGCAAGTGGAACTGATTCTGATTATTAACACAATAATGATGTGCACCGATTAATCATTTCTAATAAACACTGCAATATTCATGGTGACTTTAAGCATCAACTTCAGGTTCATTTATATATGAATTAACTTGTAAAGAATGACATATTAGATCTGCAGTTTCTGAGGGCTGACTATATTTACAATGTCTTTCAGAAAGAGCAGCCAACACGGCTTCCTTCCGCACACGCGTGTGTGTGTGTGTGTGTGTGTGTCTTTTGTTTTAGTGAGTGTGTGTATCTGTTGTTTAGACTTTTGTTTTAGCAATCGGGCTCTCAAAAAAGATTTTCCAGCCAATATATCGGTTATCGGCTTTCAAATAAAGAATTATCGGATATCGGTATTGGCCAAATTTTTCATATTCCTATTAAACATCCCCCAGTGCTCCTGAACTGCTCTCGAGAGTGAGTCTGCAGTCCTGCATCACGTGTGTGTGTGTGTGTGTGTGTGTGAACCAGAGCTGGTTGGGCTGTTCAGTGTGTGTCAGGTATGATCTTTCACTCTTCTTTGTTGTTTTCACTCAGTCTGTCCCTTTGTGTCTCAGATCTCTGATCTCTCTTCTCCGCCCTCGCCTCTATGAAACATTATCCCTTTAATCACACAGCTTTTCATTTCTCACGCTGGTTTGTGTTTACCGACGGCCATAGAAGATTATTACCAGAGAAATGGTCCAATGACATATTAATTAAAACCAACTGACCCATCTGGAGGCCCGGGACACACTCATCACCAAGACACACTCATCCTCACACACACACACGGCAGATTTCTAAAATCATTTGATGCACTTTGTCAAATTTTCCTGAAAACAATAATAAAGAATATAATAGAGTGTAAATAATACTCAAATAACACGGATGCCAATGAGCTTCTGGACTTTATTCTGAAAAACCATCGTGAGCAAATATTATATCTATGGTTGCTGAGGTCTTTGCACTGGATGATGTATGCAGGATTACATTGTTTTATTTTTAATTAATAATATAATAATTCCTCGTGTTGGAATGCGCTTCGTGTGTGTGTGTGACAGAGCCTGTTCACGGGTGAACTCCTCATAACACCGATATGAAAGTTCTGCCATTTTCCTCATATAACATAACCCCAGTTTGAGCCACAGCTTCATCAACACACACACACACACACACACACACACATCACCAATAAATAATATAATGATATGAAAACTGGTTAAACGTGACTGAAAACAAATCTGATCATCGTATAGGGATGCACAAATATGAACATATAACGATAATTCTTTATATTTGAGAGCCTATTAACCGATATATTGGCTGATAAATCTAAATTCAAATTTATATATCATTTTTGAGAGCCTGATTGCAAAAACAAAAGCATCATCATGTAAGCTACTCATGTTCGACTCGCGCGGTTATGCCAACATTTCCGGTAGACGCTTCTTCGTTGGTGTTGTTCAGCGGTTTCTTCTTCCGCTCGGCGGACTGTGAATATCGAAACTAGGAATCGAAATTTTAACTTTTGAACGATTCCGTGAAAAACGAAAAGTTAGTCTCGGTTTCAATCGATACTCGATTCTCGATACCCAACCCTAATCATCACCATGAAAACCCACGTCCAAATCAGACAGTTATATAGCGTTCTCATTATAATGTTACGCAGCCGATATGACACACTTGCACATGTTGCATTTTACTGTATTTTCTTGAAGTGATTCCAACAAACAGTTCATAATCATAATCATAACCATCACTGAGCAGCCGCGTCTGAAGAGTCTCGGCTCAAGGAGATATTACTAATCCGCTTTAATATATCGGGCAGATCTTCTCATCGGGATAACGATAACGAGAACATTATAAATGATCATATATCAGCCGATAAGGAGCCGCTATATCACAGCAGCAATTCCTGTTTCTATAGTTATGATAATCATATAACCGCAGCAATCGTCGCACTGGGATTCACACAGCACCGTGATCACACACTCCACTGATCACAGTCTCCACTGGTAACCAGTGTCCTCATGGCCGGATCATGTGTGTGTTTATGGGGTGTACTGTACACTGATTTACAGGGTTATTGCGGGGTAATAATTGATGACATCTGGCGTTTTAAAACCCAGGATCATATTTGATCAGAGAGATTGAAACCCTCGTTCCAGAAAGCATCTGATTGGATGAGACTCTGAAGCAGAATGATGTCATTGGTATCGGCATGGAGGACATCATACACGTGTGTGTCTTCCAGTGTAGTGTGTCCTTGTTTCACACACTGGTTCACTGGATCCGTCATCATCCTCTCGCTCGAGTCTTCTCTTCATCACTTCTCCTCCATCCTCATCCCTCGTTCACTTCTGCCCATAATGCCCTTGAGGAGATTCTGCTCCAGCTCTGTGTTCAGCACACATAGACTCCCAGTGCTCCCAGTTCTTCCTCAGAGACCCCGGCTCCAGCTCCATGAGGAACCCGTTGCAGTGCCTCGAACGCCAGAAGGTCAGGAGGACTCTCGGACTCGTGTGCTAAATGCAAATGTTCTGAGGTTTGCAAAACACACATCTTTAGCGCCAGCGCGACGTGACTCATCGCACGGGATGTGGAAACGGGAACTAATCGCAGCACTTCGCTAAAAAAACGGCTAAATAGGCACAAAAAATGTAAATTTGTGAATATCAATTGATTTACAGGCAGACCTTCCACAGCACACACACACGCGCGCGCGAGAACAAAGACACGATGATAGTGTGTGTGTGTGTGTGTGTGTGTGTGTGTGTGTGGACAAAGGGAGATGCGCTGAAGATAATAACGCGTGGCCGCGCGTCAATCAAACATGTAACTTTAGCGCTTTGTGAGTGTGTGTGTGTGTGTGTGTGTGTGATGAAGTCAGTGTCGTGTAACATCATGCTGCAGTGTCTCTTTGTATGTCCCTCCCCCATTGATTCCCTTCTGCGCGAGACAGCGTGTCCTTCCAGACGCACAATGGACTCGAGCTCGGTGTAAATACACAACTCTTACTCCAGCTCTCTCTCTCTCACACACACACACACACACATCTATATGAGCTCATCAGTACAGGAGGATATATATATATATATAACTTCCTTTGATCAAGCAGAGCCGCAGGAAACCACTAGCCGGAGCCGATCAGAAATAATGTATTAAATAATGTCACTGTGGTATCCGTGTTTTAACAATAATGCGTGTGCATTCTTCCAAAAGAACAAACATAGCTGTTTAATTCAGACATAAGATAGCGTTATAACCCATCTATAACTCACCTTTGTATTAGTGTCTTTCATTCTCTCCTGCCGTGCTTTCGGTAACGGGTCCGAGCTTCGGGACATTGCGGAAAAACGAAAACTTCACCCTGAGCCGGACGATATAAAATCCAGATGTTTGAGTCTAATCCAGAGAATAAGCATCCAGTGCATGAAGAAATATGATCTGACATATGCATGTACGTTATAGCTCCATTCAGTCTCACGTGAACTGTGTTTAATAAGACGCACTAGGGGTTTTTCTCTCTTTTTTCTTCTTCCACAGGAAACTCCACAGTCTTCATGAGCACTGCCCCTAAGCTGACTTTCAGCCAATAGCAGTCGTGGATTTCTCTGACTGACAGGCGCTTGACCAATCAGAGCTGTTACATGCTGGCGGACTCCGCCCATCACAGTTACAGTAACCTACAGATTACACATAGACAGAGACTACAGCAGCACGCGCCACATGGTGTGTGTGTGTGTGTGTGTGTGTGTGTGAGAGAGAGAGAGAGAGAGAGAGAGAGACTGATGTGAGGCTGAGCGCTGCTTTATGTAGCTTATTATAATAGTTCAAACATTAGACGTTTTTTATTCTGTACAACTAAAAGGAAACTCACTCATTAAAATTGAATTTCAAATAAGATCATATCATAAGATCTACATGTATTAATTGTGTTGATATAAAAATGTTATCTGTGAGTATTTAACACACACACACACACACTCACACACACACACACGCGCGTGCACACACTGTATACACACACAAGTCCAGCGTGGGACGAAGGAAAACAGAAACTGTGACTCAGTCTCTATGTTGGATTCATAGTAATAAATGTTGATTAATTTGCTCAAGCACACACACACACACACATGATATCACTGGAGTTAATATCCGCTGCTCGTTAATGACTGGCTTGTGTTTTCTGGACTGTAGAGACGACCAACAGAGGAGATGATGACTGAGGCTGCGAGTCGAGCTCGATACACACCGCCTCACTGTGAAGGTGTGTGTGTGTGTGTGTGTCCTCGGCCCTCATGTGTTCAGCTCAGGTTATACTGGCTGGAATACACTACTGTTGTGTCTCTGAGGATCAGAGCTAGTCTGATGAGCAATCACACACACACACACACACGAATGTCTTCTTTCGTCTCTCCTCTGTCTTCTGAAAGGAGGTGTTTGTGATCCTCAGAGTGTTGAAATCTGTTCTAGTGATCGTCTGCATCACTAACCTCAGTCTGATCATGTTTTTTATTTCATATTTTGTATTTTAAGGGGACTTTTTATAATAAATTATATTTACGCTGTATTTATTATCCAGTTATTCACTTTTTGAGCATAGACCCGAACATTTTATTTCCGACTTAATCTGTGATAAATCTTGAATGTTAGAGCAACGACACACTCGGCTGATTATTGCTGGAAAGTTTCAAATAGTCAACTTAAAAAAAGTGGCAACACTTTAGATTACGGGTCCTTCGTTAATGAATAACTACACAAGAACTAATGAGTAACACAATATTAACAATCTAGTAACTATTATTAACTAACAAGAAACTCTGATTAACGAACTAGTAAGTAATAGCACACAGACGAAAGTGGTAGTTCACTATTAACTAATCAATAACTGCTATTTTTTTTAATACTTCCCAGAGAACTACTGAAAAAGTTTATTAACAATCTAGTAACTACTATTAACTAAAATAAACTCTTATTAACGAATTAGTAAGTAATAGCTCACAGATGAAAGTGTTACTAGATACTTCTGTGGGAATTACTAATTATTTGGATTCATATTATAAAGTGAAGATCATTGGAACTAACTAGTAATTACTCAAGTGTTTCTACATGATCTAGTCATGATTTGTGCAAACGTTTGAGATTTTGGTGAACTTTAGTATACTTTTAGAAAATGTCTTTAGTAACACTTGAGTCATTTGAGTAATGTGTTATTACAGCAAGATCGTTGAGCTTTTGTGATGGTAAAGGTGTGTGTGTTTATGTTCAAGTTAGGTCTGGTGTTCCTGGAGCATTTAGGACAGAGATGTGTAAGGGAGTGGCGATGGGCTTGCCTGTGTATTCAGATTAATAAGAGGAGAGAGACACCATTACTGCCCCCTGGTGGTGTGATTTACTGATGCTCCACCTGCAGATCGGTGTATGGGACACGAGTGTTCATATTTTGTGCTAGTTTTAGCATAGTACAAGTGTAATAGCATAACTCAGCTCTGGATAGTGGATTTGGACAATGGAATAACCAGGAGCCCAACTACTACCCAGTGTCAGAAGGGTATGCAGCAACAACAATCCAGGGCAATCCAAGCCAAGACAGGCAGTAGTGAGATAACAATCCAAGGTCATCAGCAAGAGGGAAAACCGCTCCGTGATCACAGGCCGTGATGAACTTCTGTTTGAGTGTGGCTTATATGGAGAGTGTGAGTGAGGTGCAGGTGTGTGTGCTGTCAGTCCTGGGTGTGAAGCATTATGGGGATTAGAGTTCCAGAGTAAACGAGTATTGGGTGAAGGCTCCCTCTGGTGGCGAAGAGGAGGCCCGCTCAGGAACACCACCAGTGCCATTTGTTTATAAGCATCAAATTATCATGATTACAGGTTCTCATTTGAATAAATAGAGAAAAGAATTGGGGATAAAACACATCCCTGTGGGAGACCAGATTTTAAAACCACATGAGACTTACTATTACTCCTTAAAATCAAGGTTTGATGCACCTGTAGCTCCTGGAGACGCCTCAGAAGGGTATATTACAGTATTAAAGAAAAGTCCATAAAACCCTCACGCATGAATTTGCCTAATCCGACCCCGAATGCTTCACACACAGGTCCAGCGTGGCATCTTACCCTCGTGATCAATACACTTCACAACTTCATATTCAACTCGGTGCAGGACATGCATTCACACAGATCTGGTGTTTCTCTACTTATCTTCCTCCCAAGAATGATGGCGTTCTCCAGTCTTGACTTGATCTCCACAATTCCCCTCCAGTTCACGTTTCCAGCTTGTATTGACACGATCACCGTTGCACCCTTAATCCAGCCCAATCCTCACAGCCTTCTCCAGATATCTCCGTGACTCCATGCCACGGCCAGAGAACCGACGGCTCCCGGAGGAACACTCCCAACTCTCTCGTTACTTCCCTTTTCTGCATCGCAGATCCTCCGCACCTGTTGCTGATGTTCTCAATCAGCCGCCGCTGCCATGGCGACAGACTCCGCCTCAATTTGTCACCTGGTGACACATGCTTTTAATGCTGAGATTTTAGATGTTGTATAAAAACATTTGGAAATCGATTTATCGGCTGATATATCTTTCAAATAGATATCGACCAAAATGTTGATATTGGTGCATCTCTAGTTGAAAACAACACATTTTGCAACCCAGCGCTGGGTACATACAGTATAGGACCGAACACATGCTGGGTTGAAGGAAAGACCACCTCAGGAAGATTTCTCTCAGGACAGAAGACAACATGACCGTCACATTGATCCAGTTTGGCAAACAGCAGTGGGTTCCCAGATAGCAAACTGACATTGAATCAACGTGGATATGACATCGACATATGACATCTGAAATTGTTTTGCTCATCGAATTAACGTTGAACCAACGTCAGACGCGTCATTCTTTCAAAACTAACGGAAAATCAACTTGAAATCAACGCGTTGTTTCAACGTTATGAAAGCAAACCAATTTTCGATTTTCATTTAGCTTTGAAGAATGCCGCGTCTGACGTTGGTTCAACGTTAATTCGATGAGCAAATCAACGTTGTTTCAATGTCATGAGAGACGTCGTTTCCACGTTGATTCAATGTCAGTTTGCTGTCTGGGTTACTATAACCCAGCAGGCTGGGTAGTTTATGAAGGGAGCATTATTTCTACCGTCAGTGAAATTTAACCCAGCAGTGGGTTACACACACACAACTACCCAACAGTTTGGAAAATAACCCAGCAGTCTGGGTAAAAAATAACCCAGCATATTTGAGAGTGCAGCAGAAGCAGCATAAAGATCCTCTCCCGTCGGGAGTGTGTGTCGTGTCCTGGCAGGTTTCACGGGGTGACTGAGCTTCATGTCTTCATCTTGACGGAAGAGTTGTGTGATGCAAGACTTTCCCCACCATATCAGATTATTTCCCACTTGCAACACCAGTGCCCTGCGGAGAGGAGATCTGCAGACGCCATCTGGTGCTGCGTGTGTGTGTGTGTGTGTGTGTGTGTGTGTGTGTGACCACCAGAGAGAAACACCAGAGATTTCACTTCTACATATATCAGGAAACTTACAATAGAGATATACACATCCTCCACACAATTTTACACACACACTTCACATAATTACACATCCGACTTTCTGCTTCACGTGTTTTGTATTGATGGTGTCGTCTCACTGTCTCATGTTCTGCTTTAATAAAGAAAGATAGAAAGAAAAACACCAGTGATTTGTTTGAGACGGTCTTTGTTTCCCTGTAGTTCCTCGACTGATGAGATCATTAAAAACATCACATACACACATAAACAACATTAACACAGGATTTTCTGTTTCCTCAACTCTAACTCTGCTAGAAGTGATGACTATCAGCAATATACGGTGTCAGGTCACATATTAATTATGTATACATTATTAGAAAATCCAAACACCATTTTATTTCCTCTGATGATGATGCTATATGCTAATTTAACCTGCTTCAGGAGAATGAGATGATCTAAACATTTCAAGGAATTTCCTCAGAAATGGGAAGTTGACACGTCATGTCTGCGACAGGAAATATTAACATGAGGATTTAAAATAAACCTAAAACTATACAACTGACATACTCTGGCAAGGGGTCCTTCAGAGTGACAGCTGTCCCTGATATTGCCTGATTTAATGTCTGACGTGTTGACAAAACGTGGGACAATCGCAACTTTTATGAAACACACGTGTCATTGAAAAACATTCTGATTGGTCAGTAGCTGTGCTTTATTCATGATAACACACGGCTATGACCGCGTCACCCATCGGCTCTCTGTATCACTGCGCGACACTGCCGTTCCTGTGTTTATTTGAGCTTTCATGCATATTACACATCTGAACGTTGTTGCTGTTCACGGTCAGGGACTATTTTTTTTTTCTAGCGGAAGGATTCGAAGGAAGGCTGTTAGTGATTTTACTTCATGAAAGTTGCAATAATACATTTTTTTTTTTGCTTTAATATTGTGTGCTAACCGTTTTATATAAGCAATAAGGTACTCGAGGCTGAGTAGCGGCTTAAAGAGTGTTGTTCGGCTCGACGCGAAGCGGCGTAACCCCTTCAGCGCTACTCACGGTACAGCACAGCCTCGAGAACCTTATTGCTTAATTATTACGTGTTTCTTTTGATAGCACATAGTTTTTCATCATTAAAGAACATTTTATTCATTTGATTGCAAATGAATGATTAGATGTAGTGAGAAGATAATAAGTGTCATAGATATGATATAACAATGATACAATTAGATTAAATTAATTAATTGTGTTAAATACATTCTATTATTATAACATTTGAAAACATGTTCATTTCATTTTCATTAGCCTAATAGCAGTTAGGCTACGTGTCCAAGAGTCAGCGATGTGGTGTTGCGTTATGAATTCGAGGGCAGTTTACAGCACTGCTAGAGTTAGTTTCTGCAGACTTTCTTAAACTTTAATTACTCTACCGAGAACAATCGCATGAAGCAGGACAGGGACGTTTCTTCTATTGTGTTCGGTGAGAGAAACCGTGGGCGGGGCTTGACTGTGTCTGTGGGAGATTGATTGGATGGTTGGATGGTGGTGGTTTGCTATTGGTGGATCTCATCTCATCTGCAAGATGTCTGTAAAAGATCACTTCATCTGGAAAGCATCATCTGAAAGACATCTTTAAGATGTCAGTTTAACATGCATTCTAAATCATTACATCTTAAAGACATCTTCTAAACATCTATTTGACATCTGACAGGAGACGTATTACAGATGAGCTACACTAAAAATATATATAAATCCAGATGTAAACACACACATCAAATAGACGTCTCTGAGATGTACGTGTGCTATCTGGGAAGATAATGAGTCACATATTAATTTAAAACAATAATGTGTAAAAAAAAACCATACTACAGTATACTGTACAGTAATACAGGTAGGCTATTGTTTCTTGTGCACATCATATATATTTTTATAGGCCTATATATTTTAGATTGTAAACCGCGGTATGTATTCTGCTGTAGGCTATATCGATATCACTAACTATCAGTAACACAGCAGAAGTGGAGAGAGAGAGTACACACACACACACACACACACACACACACACACACACACACACACACACACGTACGCCCCACCCGCTGAACAAAACACAGAATCCGGAAGTGCGAGTGGATCATCACCGACACACAAACACGCTTCTGAAGCTCAGCTTCACACACACACACACACACACTCCACACAACCTGTTATTTTGCGCCGATGTGGATTTTTTGATGACCTGCTGAGGCGCGCAGCCGAACCCTGAACACACACATCAAGAGGACGCGCTCGGCCGAACAGGTAGGCTACGTGTGTGTGTTCGTCAAATCACGACATGTTATTTACAGCCGTCGCCTTCGCTCGAGAAGCTCTGTCTGTGTTCAGTGTGTTTACTTCTGTCACGACTGGACTGGTTTATTATAACCTGTCATGGTTTGCACCTCTTCCTCGTCTGCCAGGTGTGATGATGATGATGATGATGATGTTTCTCAGTGTTCAGTGGTTCGTCTCCGTGAACAGTGAGCGTTTGTGTAGCCAGAGGCTCCGATTTATGGCACAAATATGTTGTCGATGTTTCATTTTCATAAACTAAGCTCAAGCGCGTGCCCGTCGAGCAGATGTGCGCAGATGCTGAATGTGACCTTTTGAGTTATTTCTGTAGAACACATGACAGATCATGGCTAACAGGAAGGCATGCCTTTCCCCGTCGAGTGTGAGGTGTTTTCATGTTTAAGAACTTAAAAAGGTTCAGATTAATCGCGGATTGCTGAGCACGCGCTAGTGTAAGGTGTATCGTGTGAACACGGCGGCGAACGGCCGGTTTCCGCGTTTAGGTTCATGTTCAGATGGAAACTGGTGTGGGCGAAGACGTGTTGGGAAATTACACACGGGTGGTGTCTCAACTCGGTCGTGGTGAGGGTACGTGTGTGTGTGTGTGTGTGTGTGTCTGTATGCCTCACCTGCCGACGGAGAGTCCAGAAGAGTCGATTCCTAGATTCGTCTCCTGCTCAGGAATCGACTCTCGAGCTGCAGAGAACCGCAGATACACTCTTTCATCTAACTTACTTCACAAATAAATAAATAAAATAACAACAGCAAATCGCATCATACCTTCGTGCCAGCTTATTGGATCATCAAGTTTTATAGTATTGCAATTCCATTGTTCATTAAACAAATCGTAATTTTAAAGAATCCTTCCAACAAGATTAAACACATTAGTGTGTACATTATTGTATGGTATTATATTAGCATCTTGAACTCACCTGTCCAAACAGCTTTTAAGAGATGACAGCATAGGCGGAGTTTCACTTTTGTGCGTGGGGGGGCATCTACCGGCAGACCAGAGCTAAGATTTTTTTATATGGGCTACCATATTTAAAACATGTATATATCATACCATTTACATTTAAAATACATTTACAATGAATGAACAAGGACTGCTATACTAAGAAAGAATAGCGTTAAAAAAAACACACTTACCTAATGCAGAAGAAGCCGCCTCTTTTTCCGCGTTGCATAGATGTCCACTATCTTTTCTTCTGATAAATTTGCAGTCAAGTCGTTCTCTATATGCAGTAGGGAAAGATTCGAGAATCTGTCCTGAGCCATTGCAGATCGGAGCCAGTTTCTGATTCTTCTCATAACTGAGAAACTTCTTTCTGACGTAGCAGAGCCAACTGGCAGTGTGAGTGCAAGCTGCAGCAGACGGTAAAAGTTTGGATATCTATCCTTCCGTACTTCATCTTGAAGTTTTTTTAGGGTGATCGGCGATGCGATTGCACATTTCACAAGATCCATTTCAGCTGCCACAAGCTGAGGGTGAATCTTAAAGCTGCTCGCATACATGCTTAGTAAAGGACCGATGCCGTTCTTGTCACAATTTAATACAGCATCACATGCCACACTCAGGGCCATTGCTTCAGGGAAAATCGCCTGTCCAATTCAGCCAGCATAGTGTCTAAAACAGGGAGATACAAATGACATTTAAATGTCTGTGATTCTGATCCCCATTGCGTCTCATTTTCATCACGCTGTCCAAGTGTGGTTGGTACAAAGTACTGTGAAAGCTCGGGAGGTTGTCGCGAAGTTCTTTTTCGTTTTCCTGCAATTTGGGGGGCACTCTCTGCACAAAAACCAGCGACATCTTCACAAAACGTTTTCACCTGCTTCCACATTGCCTCCCATGAACTCTCCTCTCTGCTGCGCTGGAGATGTGTTATCAGACTATTGACTGCTGAGGCCGCATCAGCCATGGTTATACTTGCACCTTGCAGACGTTTGTGTGTTACATGTACAACTCTGAGAACTTCCTCGAGAACAATTAAGGACGTAATGAATCGGAGACTTGTCATGTGATTATACAACCCACTTGCATCCACAGACCACTTTTCTCCCTCTTCTTCCATCTCTTTCAAGCAGCGAGTGATGGCAGCATATTGTGATTTGACAGCATAAACACACCTATATTTGCAAGCCCATCGTGTATCACTTTGCTGCACTAGCTCTTTTGGTTTAAGAGCCAGTGTTTTCTGCATCATGAGAAATCTGCAATGGTTGCTTGGCTCTGCAAACAAGGAGTATAGTTTGTCAATGACATTTAGACACGTTTTAATGTCTCTGTTCACTGTGCATGATTCAACAAGTACGAGATTTAGTTTATGTGCCATACAATGCACATACACAGCAAAGGGGAATTCCTCTCTTATCCGTTGCTGAACTCCACTCAAATGCCCCGACATTACAGCGGCTCCATCATATGCTTGCGCAATTATGGGAATGTCCTTCAGCCCACACGACTGCAATCCTTCTTTAATGCCAGAAACAATCCCTGCAGCATCACGAGAATTCGAACAGTCAACAAAGCAAATAAATCGCTCCTTGATCTGAAGTCCCTCTGAGTATCTAATGCAAACAGAAAGTTGCTCAGTCTTTGATGACTTTGCTTCATCAGCAATAACAGCAAGAAAACCAGTCTCGTGTACTTTTTTGGAAATTTCTTCACGAATGAGGTCTGCACACAATGCAATTATTTCATTCTGAAAGTCTCGGCTTGTACAGTTAAAATATTTGGACTGCATGGATTCGAAATCAGGGTCGTATTTTGAAAACAAATCGCAAATACTTAAATAATTCCCCCTTGCTTCTGCATCCGTATCTTCACGATGTCGCGGAAAGGAGGCCTAATTTAGCAATCAATTTTATAATATTAACGGATTTGTAGAGGTACTGTCTGTTTTTTTCTACTGTGCTTTGATGGCTGTGTGACAGCTGTGCAGCCACAGATCCCGATTCACCAGCCTGTTTATAGCTCTCCCACATCGTCATGCTGTTTAAATGTACCTGTGACGAAGCGTGTTTCGTCAGCTTCTCTGACAGTTTTTTCCAGTTCCGAGCTCCGACTTTTGTAAATAGTTCGTCTGCGCCTGATCTTGCAATGTTTGAAGAAAAGTGGCGACAGCAAAAACAAAAAACGGAATCCAGTGAAATTGAGTACTCCATCCATGGGAACTTGTGATAGTAAAATGTAGAGAAGGCACGATTAACATTTCCAATTAGGCGCTTAGGGAAAGAAGAAAGTATGGCTGTTTCGGCCCAATAGCTTTTTCACCGAGGTCAACGGATCCAGATCCAGATGCGGCAGGTTGCGCGGTTGTTGTTGTTAACGGTATCTCCGCTGACACGGTAGCGGTGCTGCTGGCTGTGTTCTCAGATGCGGTCTCGATTGCTATGTCAGTAGCAGGAATGGAATTGATAGCAGAAGTGTCAGAGTTAGAAAACTCCACACTAGTGCGCTTATTAAAAAAACGACGAATGTCCATTTTCTTTATTTATCCGACTAAAGCGGGAACAGAACGAGAGTCCACTCAGCGGGAGCCGGGAACAGAACGAGAGTACACTCACTTACCGCGATATTTTGAGATCCGCCAGTCGTGAGAAAATTAGCTTCTTTTTCAATACAGTAATTAATATTATATAAATAAAAAATTATTTAGCCTTAACTTACTCATTATACCCGCAAAAGCGATAAGATAAGACAAATAAAATGAGAAAATATGAATTCAGCAATTTTTATTTATTTTTCAAAGCACAAGGCAGACATTAATTGGCTCTGGTCTGGGGGGGGGGCAGTGCCCCCCCTAGCCCCCCCTAAACTCCGCCTATGGATGACAGCTTATCTCCCTCATCCTCTTTAAATTACGCATTGGCAACAACTAGACATGCTTATTATTTCAAGATAATATCGAAAATCTCTAAACTGTACTAGTTTTGCCTGGAGTTTTAGGCATTGTGTCAGAGAGTGTGTGTTGTAGCTGAAGGCAAGCCTGTATTCTTGTTCCCAGCGCTGTTTTGAAGTGGAGTCGAATCCCGGAGTCGGTTCCATCAACTCTACGGTGGGAGTCAGGAATCGGAGTCAACTCTATTTTAGTGAAATATCGCCCTCTTCTGTCAGTGGTCCGTAACACACTCACCTGAACAAAAACCTTGAAACGACTAGACAGAAAAAATAGACCAGAAACACACACACAGACAGACAGACACACACACACACACGCTATGTGATATGTTTTAAACATAGGCTATCAATAAACAATATATTTATTCTAGCCACTACTTATAAGAAAGAGTAGTGTATGCAATTAATATTATTGCTAATAAACAAAGATTTTGAGAAAAAAAAAACAGTAAATATGCCCAAATGCGTGTTCAGCGCGTTCAGTCTGTGTTCACAGTTTGTGTTTAAGACCTGCTACAATCGATGGAAACAGTCGGTCTTCGAATATTTCAGCGAGTTGTATGTGAAGTAACCTCATCATTAATAACATTAGTGTGGAGTAACCCTCATCATTAATAACATTAGTGTGGAGTAACCTCATCATTAATACCATTAGTGTGGAGTAACCCTCATCATTAATAACATTAGTGTGGAGTAACCCTCATCATTAATAACATTAGTGTGGAGTAACCTCATCATTAATAACATTAGTGTGGAGTAACCCTCATCATTAATAACATTAGTGTGGAGTAACCCTCATCATTAATAACATTAGTGTGGAGTAACCTCATCATTAATAACATTAATGTGAAGTAACCTCATCATTAATAACATTAGTGTGGAGTAACCCTCATCATTAATAACATTAGTGTAGAGTAACCTCATCATTAATAACATTAATGTGAAGTAACCTCATCATTAATAACATTAGTGTGGAGTAACCTCATCATTAATAACATTAGTGTGGAGTAACCTCATCATTAATAACATTAGTGTGGAGTAACCCTCATCATTAATAACATTAGTG